AGCAATCCGCAGTTCTTTGCACAGCAGGCAGCGCAAGCTGCTTACCAGCAAGCTATGATGGCATATTCCTCTGCCGGGTCACATGTCGGCGATGGCATGCACCCCACGCCCATGAACCCCATGATGACCGGCGGTGGGATGGGCTACGATCCTCGGATGTCGATGATGGGCATGCCGATGATGGGCAACCCCTTGGGCATGAATCATATGGGCGGAGGTATGGGGATGGGGATGGGAGGCGGTGGCATGGCAGGTGGTGGTATGGGAGGTGGTGGTATGGGAGGCATAGGAAGTATGGGCATGCAGATGACAGGCGGTTCGGCGTTCGACGCACGGTATTCTCCAGCTAATATGGAAGATCTTCGTCCTCCCGGCTCGCTCGCGCAGGGTCAGCGCACTGGCCACAGTTCGTCCCGGAACAGCTCGGCTGGTCAAGGATCGCCCGCTGGACCGCGCCCCGTCGATGCCCGCGACAACCCGAAAAATTGATCTGCGGTCTCTCACTTCTACAATTCTCATTTAGGCATCTCTCCTTCTCGGTCAGGCGTGCAATGACAGTTAATTCAACCGCGCCTTTTTTACGAAGTTTACGACCATAAAATGCCTTTTGCCTAGTTTATCACTTTTCATACCTACATTTTTCATGGACTTGGTCATATCAAATTATCTTCTGCATCGTTATATCTGGGACCCTGAAGAGATTGTTACGGTAGTTTCAGGTGTTTCTTAAATTGCTTTTTACTGGTAAACATTGTGCAAAGGAATTCGAGTCAGCGGATGCAATATTCGGCCCACGGAACTTGGTGCTCGCATTTGGCTCGCATTAGTAGGAGCCTTGTCTGAGTCTGATCAAAGTTTCTGCGCAACTACACCCGCACCCACGTTCTTAGAAGACTGACAGATGGGTGTGAAGTCACTATGGGACCTCTTGTCTCCAGTGGGTCGCCCAGTGCCGTATGTACTCCGTGATTTCCAGGGTTCTGACATACTTAAACGTTGGATTCATTCCAGGCTCGAGACCATCGAAGGGAAAGCTCTTGCCATTGATTCTAGTATCTGGATCTACCAGTTTCAAGCTACTATGCGCGACAAGGATGGACGTGCATTGGTTAACGCACATGTGCTTGGTTTCTTCCGACGTATCTGCAAGCTATTATTCTATGGGATTCGCCCGGTCTTCGTGTTTGATGGAGGAGCTCCTGCGCTTAAGAGAAACACGATTGTAAGGCACTTTTTCTTTTTACTCACTGCAATGCTGACAGAATGGTATAGATCGAGCGTAAGAACAAGAAGAGTGGTGCAGCTGCAACTCACGCCAAGGTTGCGGAGAGGCTGCTGGCAGCTCACATGAGACGGGAGGCTTTAGTACATGCTCAAGCGTCACAGTATGCGACCTATCGTATCCTGAATGAGTGTGCAAATACTTATATGTGTAAGCCAGCCCTTCATCGTCAAAAGGAAAGCAGAAAGTGCCCTCAGGACCCGTGGTCCTGGATGAGAATGCGGTTTACCTTGAGGACATTGATAATTCTGCACCGAAGACACCGGCAAAGAAGAAAGCAGAAGAAACACCTCTTTCGTCAAAAAAGAAAGCTCGCTTTTATGATCATGATCCTTACAGACTTCCAGAAGTGGATCTTGAAGAGCGCGTGGCGAAGGCCACTAGTTCGCAGGCTCCAGACCCGCGCCTCGCCACAGAGGAAGAGCTCCGGACATTCATAGAGGAGATGCGTCCAGAGGACTTCGATGTATCCTCTCCAGCATTCCGAGAGCTGCCTACGGAAGTTCAGTACGAAATTGTTGGTGACCTTCGGTTGAAATCACGTCAGACATCGTACAAGCGCTTGCAGAACATGCTACAGAAGGCAGAAACTCCTTTGGACTTCTCCCGAGAACAAATCAAGAATCTCAAGCAAAGAAATGCTCTGACTCAACAACTCTTGATGACTACTGACAGCATCGGTAAAGCACACATCACCATTCCTGTCCGAATTGCCAGTGAGCGAAATAGAGAGTATGTTCTTGTCAAGAACGACGGGGCGGACGGTGGTTGGGTCTTAGGCATCCGAGACGACGGCACGCGGTCAAAACCAATTGAAATTGATCAAGACAAGCCCACACCTCAAAGCGACAGCGATGATGACACGCAGATGGAGGAAGTCAGTATGTATGCTGCCGGAATCCTTCATTATCATTGATCATCCGTTCATTGTGTTGTCAGACCAGGAAATGCAACACCTGATTCCGATCTTCGAGAGTTCCAGGCAAGTATGGCACTGCATGCGATAGGCAAACGCTTGCAGCCACCCATGTCAAAACCTGTCCAGAGGCGAATCAAATCGAAGCCTTTATTTGAGCTGGATGATGACGAGGACATATCCAGACCCTTGGATGACGAATTTGATCACATCGGGGATCCTGAGCTTGCCCTTGCCATCCAGGCTTCACTAGAAGATCATACTGCAAATTATAAGCCTAGTAAGTTTTTCTAGGGCAGGGATACTGCAAAATTTGACTTTCGTTTAGTCACTTCAGAACCTTCTCCTTCTAAATTTAGCCCTCCTGCAACTCCTCAGTCAAAACCTGCTCTTCGACTCCATGATTCTGACGATGATCTATACACGTCCCCTTCTCGGCTGGAGACCGCACTTTCGATCGCAGGGGCTGGTCCGGTGCGAAGGCTGGCTGCAACCTTGCATGATCTTCCATCGCAATCTGCGTTTGGGAAGGCGGCTTTGTTAGTTTCACCGAAGACAGCATCGCGTCCCATGCCAATCGTTCAATCATCCTTGTCAGAATCAGAAGAAAGCATGGATGAAATATTGCCTGTACAGGCAGTCGAGGCATCACACAGAAAGCCGTCGCCGGTTGCTACTAGCGCCCATGTCAAGCCGCCACAATCTCCCAAAAATTCGCAGGAGGCTGCACAAGATTCGGACGATGACATGGAAGAAGTCCCAGTCACTGATGGCAGTCACGTCCGTGATGTATCCGAGGGTTTTGTACCTGCAGCAGTCTCAGCACCGGAGGATGCGGCCGAAGAACGACGATCGATGTCTTCTGCATCTTTTCAGCTACCAAAGCCATTAGAACGTCCTCAGCCTTCAACCTCTAATGTGGTCACGCCCGAAGCTCGGATACCTGAGAGCGACGATGAATCTGATATCGAATGGTCGCGGTCTCCGTCACCTGTGCTTGGTACTGCTCCGGGGAGTACTAATCAAGGAGCGTCTGCTGCTGTGGAAACCTGGGATGCTGCTGAGGAAATGGATCCACATGCTGAAGAAGGCGAATTTGCCCGGTTCATCTCGCAAGTCAAGGGCAAAGATTTGGATGCCGTCAGACATGAGATTGACGAAGAGATTCGGACGTTGAATCAACAGAAGAAAGCAGCGATCCGTGATTCAGAAGATATCACTCAACAAATGATCTCTCAAATTATGGTATGTGTACCGTGCTGAAGGTAGTACTATTTATTTGAGCTCACCATCGGATCCAAGCTCTTACTGCGTCTCTTCGGGATTCCATACATAACCGCACCGATGGAAGCCGAAGCACAGTGCGCAGAATTAATGTCGCTAGGTTTAGTTGAGGGCATCATAACAGACGATTCGGACGTCTTCCTTTTCGGAGGCATGCGCGTTTTCAAGAATATGTTTAATCAATCCAAGACTGTGGAGTGTTTTCATTCCTCCGATCTGTCCCGGGAGCTTGGCCTGGAACGCGATACGCTCATCCGTCTGGCGTACCTGCTCGGAAGCGACTACGTGGAGGGGCTCCCTGGTGTTGGTCCTGTAATAGCCATGGAACTGCTAAAAGAGTTTCCGGGCGAGGACGGCCTTCATAAGTTCAAGGACTGGTGGACCAAAGTCCAAAGTGGGCGAGATCGAGCAGAGGATAATACTACCAAATTTCGCGAGCGTTTCGTATGTGCCTTGAAGAAAATTTTTGACGCCAGTTTATATGTGCTTATCTTTTGATCTAGAAAAAGAAGTTCAAAAACTTATACCTGCCCCTGGAATGGCCTAATGCGTCGGTGGTGAGTGGCTGCTGTTTTGTTGGGCTGCAATGGAGGGGTAATCTCCGCGCCGTAGAGGGATGCTTATTATCATCCGACGGTGGATTCATCAGATGAACCGTTTAAATGGGGTATGCCCGACCTCGACGCCCTCAGACAGTGCGTAATGACCACCTCCGGCACTTGAAAAAAAATGCTCACAGCTCCACAGCTTTTTCCACGAAGAACTACGCTGGAACCAAACCAAAGTTGACGAATCACTTCTACCGATCATTCAAAAAATGAATAAGCGGAACCAGGTACGGACCAAGCCACGTGGCAAATCAATGATTGTTGATTCAATGTGTTTGCTAGGCTGCAGCTATGAATCGGCAAGGCAACCTAAACAGCTTTTTTGATGTTGCACCCGGTAGCGGATTACATGCCCCAAGGAAACGACAAGCATATGGAAGTAAGCGTCTTCAGCAAGTGGTTACGGATTTCCGAAATCAGCAGGCAAAACAGAGTACAAGCACACCAGTATCTGATGAGGCAGATGTCCTTGTACTCGAGGACGGGAAGGAGCCTGTTGCCAAAAAGAGGAAAACAGGTGCTAAGAGTCGAACGAAACTTAGTTCCGCAGTAGGACAACAAAAACAGGGGACTGGCCGCAGAGGGAAGGGCCGTGGCGCCAGAGCGCGGGGCTTGTCCTCCAAGACAGTTCAGGAATCCCATTCCGAAACTGGGGATGAGTATGTCGGCAATGTGATTGATGACAGTCCTTCCGCCACAGAAACATCAAAACCCTGTCTTCGCCCAAGGGCGAGACCAGTGGCGAAAGGGTCCCGAGTATCTGACACATACACCATGCTTGCGGCAGAGTCCGAGGGTTCTTAGCTTAAGCAACATGTACATAACTACCATCATAGCATATGTACTTCCTAAGATCCGAAGTTCTGAACTTGCGTTATTTTCCAGGAAAGACAATGCATTTGGCGTAGTCCAGTTACTCAACGGTAGCGAATTGGCAGGCTCATGCAAAGATAGCAAAATGCGTGAGAGTGAAAGCCTCCCGGATAAGAAACGCGAAGTCTAGGTTACAACGCATTATTACTCGTCGATCTCTTCAGTCTCTTCTCTAGCCTAGAATAAGGGTCAAATTGACCCATTGAGTGCACACGTGGAGCAGGCCCACCTTGTTTTCTTCAAGTCCGCCAAGTTCACGTACAAGGCCGGAGTACGGGTATTCCCGGGGTACGGTTGGCCTCTCTGGAACGAGCGCGTACTTGCATAGGAAACCAAAGCCAACGAATGCCGAGAAGGCGAGAGAAAGCTGAAACAAAGCCTTATGCGGAGGAATCGGGGGAGCATCAGGTCCCCACATGGACAGAACTTCGTCGTATTCTTGTATCTGAAAAAAGGTAAAGTCTGAGACGCGATTACGCGCCGGGAACTGGGTAATGTGCTGACCGGGTCACCGAAGTTCCGTCGCATCTGTTGATCCCACCAGCCTCTAGCAGGAAGTTCCTGGTCGGAAACCCATGGAAGGTCAGGGTAATCGCCTAGTTGAGGGTCTTTTTCTTGAAGTTTGAAAGTTGCAGGCGTTGCATAGGCGCGCCATAATAGGGGGGACAAACTTAAATGTCGCTTGGACGCAACGCTGCTAATAAGACGTAGTGAGCTCATCGGAGTCGAGGTGAAGGTTCAGCGTTATAGTGATCACCCAATAAGACTACTGTCAAGACTCCAGAAATAACTATCAGGACACCGGACACTACTGCGGACCCACGACTCGGACCAAATCAGATTACATGTCTGAAGCGAACTCAAGCGACGGCATCTTTCCTATCTTCGCGGCCCTGCAAGTCTATGAATGGTACAACCTTCATGACATGCTTGGAGAAGATGCGGCTTTCCTCGGCCATTCCCCAAATTTTTTAAGGTAGATCAATTTATCGTGTTGATTTAAGCTACACTGCTGACTTTCGAAACCCAGGCCTCATAAACTGGCCTATCTGTAGCGTCCACTATCATTTACATGGCCATTGGCATCTCACATACCCATGCACCTTCTTCCTTCACCATGAACGATAGCCCACATACGAACATCGACGTCGACCTGCTTTCATTGCCAAAATGTAAGCGGCTTCCCGGCGAGGTCATTTCGCCTTTGACATATACAAATGACATCGTGGACTTGTGAGCTCTTTCTTAACAAGCTTCAACTTTCGTCGTTCTCACCAATGATGTCCCAGTGATCACTGGGATCATATGTTCATAACAAACTGCTGCAGGAGCTTGACTCTTCATGATTTCGACGGACCTCCATCTACAATTCTTGATCTCGGATGTGGGCGCGGTCTTTGGGCCATCGAAGCCGCCAAGCAATGGCAGGTTGGTGAGAATACATACAACACAACCGTATTTTTCACGGAAGTGTGCAGGGCAGCATAGTTGTTGGTTTCGACATCGAGCGCATGCAACCAGCCTTTAATGTCCTCGAAAAGTCTGTTTCTCGTCGGTTAAGATGGGTTCAAGGCAATCTGTAACGTGTTCTCTGCGCGTTTTATGTTCTGCATTATATCTGATGCACTTCTTCAGACTAGAACAGCTACCATTTTCGACCAACCAATTTGACTTCGTGAGGATGGTCCGAATGGGGTTGCACATCCCAGAAGATGAGGTTAGTGTCACTGGCATCGACTTATTGACTTGCTAATGGCCCTTTCACAGTGGCCATCAATTCTGGCGGTAAGCGAGTAATCTGTCGCATGTCGTAAAACCTTTTGAATTGCTTTTACCCAACTCACATCAGGAGATCGCCCGCATCCTCAAACCTCACGGTGTACTCGAGGTGTGGAGCTGTTCTTCGGCCGTATTACGTATGGAGCTACCCTGACGGACTTTTAGATTATTGAAGAAGATCTATTATTTCCCTGCCAATCTACGCGATCACACGATGTGACACCCAGTAGCGGACAGTGTTCTGGTAGCTCTACCCAGAGCTCGAATACAGTTGTAACTGCAACCTCTTACCACGAATCTGTTTCGTCCTTGAAAGCCAAAGATGACACAAATTCCAGCCTAGATACGTTTTCTGGAACTTCGTCAACCTCGCTACCCTCCACGCTGGATACCAAACTTAAGCATCCAAAACCTCCAGATCCTCAAGATCACACACGACTTCAGCGCGCGTGGGAGGAAATGCTATACAACTACTTCTTGTCACCGCAACTACTTTCCGTCTTGCCGTTGTATCTCTCGTTATCATTCCCCAGTATTCGGTCGCATCCCCCCCTGCAAATTCCCTTACCACTCGACTCCTCGGCCAGACAACAGCTCATAACTCAACATTCGGTATCGACTATACAGATTGATCCTGCAACTCTTTTTGAGCTTCGAGCCTTGTCAGCCCAGCCGTCATCCGAAGCCGATCCCGGCGCCCGTGCTTCTGTGATGACGGCAGGGGATTCTGAGCAAACCATGTCGTCGTGGGCATGCATGCACCTAGCTCGGACCGTACGGACAATCGTGGGTTGTAAAGAGTCGATCTGGAGTGCCTACGAAAGACTGTATAGCGAAGACCCCACACCCCGAGTTGTCCGAACAACACAACAGAAGCCTACCTCAGTTCGGTCCGACCTCCGCCCGTCGCCTACCAATCCACTTCGTGATTACTTTGAACGCGATTGGATCAACTGGGAAAAGTAATTCGTTCGCTTTTTGAACGAACGAACCTACTTAACTGATTTTTTATTTGTATTCCTACAGCGACATGACGGATCGCACTAGCTTACGAGGACGCATGCGAGCGGAATTGACGTGGAACGAGCCCGTCGGTAAACCTCCAGATTGGCGCCTCTGGCGTAACTCTCTGCCGCAGGAAAATGCAAGTTCTTCTCAAGATGAATCAGCGGAATATTGCCGGAGCCTTCGTGGCTTTGTATGTTTTAAATCATGAATCATGACACACAACTTCATAAATATACCCCTTCATCATACACAATCTCGCACATGCTTCAATGAATGGACTGATTATATTTAGGCATTTTCCGCACATCTGTGGCTCCTGTATATTATATAGGGCCTTCTGCATCTAAACCATTATTGATATGAGTGATCGGATTCGATCATCGCAGCCGCGACGTTGTGAAATCGACTTTAGAGTTGTAAGGGTTGTCAAGAAGCAGCTGTGAACTATACGTTATTATGTATCTATACAGAGGTGATTGTAAGGAGTGGATCAAAAAGTGTAACAAGATTTGGACAAGATCGATACAGTACTAGCGTGCATCGATAGTTTAGGTATAGGGCCAGAATTGAATATTGAATATCGTAACGGCGGTTAACCGCCAGTCCCCGACTCCGCCCAGCTGTATCAGTAATGTCTCGTCTCTTCTCAACTACTCAGCTCAGAACTTCAGTTGAATTTAATGACGAAAAACAAGTGAGACAAGACAAAGGAGTGAAAAACACAACGATAGGATGTGGCAACCACGAACCGCTCAATAAGGCAATAAAAACCCACAAACTTTTTGACAGAGACGGGTACGTTTCTAACCTACAAAACCTTCCTTTGGGAGTCGGGGAACGTGTGGGGGTTAAAATGACAATTGCTCTTTCCGACGGAATCATATACCGTCATAGTATGCCACGCTTCCGATCGTGGCTGGCAAGAAGCTCAAGACGGTCGAGAACGTGTGAGGATTATGAAATAATATTTTCCGTGCCGAGTTGCGATGCAAATGAGGCCTCATACGCATGATGAAAGACTTGCATTTTGATAGGGTGAGGAACTGCCCAATCAGCAACCCTCCGTATCCTTATCGGTGTCACCTTCAAAGCAAGTAAGCGACAGTTCGAGGTTCTGAGCAACTTTCACAAAGGAAAAGTCATCGAGCTGTGGAGGGAGCGAGGTAGACTCGGGCTCAGGACGAATGAAAGTGCGATCGACAAAGAAGATCAGACAGGGAATAATCCCAACGAGAGATTCACACGGGCTCATAGCGAGGCGGATTGCAACGAAAATCATAACCACAGCCCTTCGTGATCATCCGCCCGACCAAAATAATATTGACCACCGTGTCAGGAGCATGCAGACAGGTTACCAGACGGATACGATGGCGATTTCTGTTGACGAGTCGGGCTACGCAATCACTACATCCACAGATGGCCAGATGGCCGCCGGGTGCACGGTGACAAGATCGATAGTGGAATACTACCAAAAGAACCCACAACCTCTTGAGCGATGTGCTGCGGTCCCGCGATGTCGGGTGGCGAAAGGGAAATATGCAGCGACAAGGTGGGCTCTGTGGAAGTATGGAGAAGTCAAAGTGATGGACACAGGATTCGCTGGTGCGGCAAATGAGGGGGTCGTAGTCGATACTGACGTGGCCAATACGGTACTTGCATCAGTGGCAGTCAACTTCTTCTTTTTGCGCTGCCAAGGAGATTGACCTTCCATGCCACCCCTTCTGCATAACAATGATCATGGTCATGATCTCCCCTCCCGCATCCAGGCGTCGTGTAAAGCATACCGGATTATGCTTATACTAGGGTAGCCGGGTGATAGGGTCTAGGTTATACCCTGCTCTTGCAGCTCTTTCCGCGCGTGCGTACTCGAATTCTGGGCAGGAAGAGGATGTGATGGTTTTCATGTTGAGAAGACGTGATGCCTCGGAAATAATACGTGCCGCACAGTTTACAAAGGTGTGTCGAGATGTATTGTTGCCACAGTGCACACAGGCGTCGCCAGCAGTCCCAAGAAAACGGTTTCGTTATCGGCGCAAACATCCATATCCAAGAGTCTTTCCAGAAAAAAGATGTGCTGTCCAATAAAAATGGAGGCGTCCGCCGAGTCTTGAGTCATCTTCAAGGTATGAATGATCTGGCGAATATGATACGAAGTGCTGATATCGTTGCGATGGAAAAGGTTATACGCTATCTTGATATCCTCGAATCGTTCACGTGATGCATTTTTAAATTTAAAGTTAACGCTCACGCCAGACCAGTTTTTGAGACTATCTTATCTGCGGCCAGACCTCTCAGTTACGTACCACGATGTCTTCGCTTGATTCTTACAAGACACAGCTCCTCGAGCAAGCTGCGCAAGTCGGTGCTCTCAAATTCGGCAATTTCACGCTCAAATCTGGCCGGTGAGTGACATACATAATTGTTCCCATCGACTTATCCTGGACTTACGGCAGTAAATCTCCTTACTTCTTCAACGCGGGTCTCATGTCCGATGGCACCATTTTATACACAGTCGCACAAGCTTATGCTGCCACACTCTGCGCTGCGGCCTCTGATGACGATGATGATTCCATGGTCAACCCCTTTTCCGACTTCGATATTCTCTTTGGACCTGCCTACAAAGGCATTTCCCTCGCAGCTTGTACCTCACTCGTACTTGCATCCACGTATGGCCGCGATGTCAAGTTCGCATACGATCGGAAGGAAGTAAAGGATCACGGTGAAGGCGGCAATGTTGTGGGATGGCCGTTAGGTCGCAATCACAAATGGCGCGTAGTGATTGTGGACGACGTGATGACCACTGGACTTGCAGTAAGCTCTACGATAAAACTTGTGGCTCGGCAAGGCGGAGAAGTGGTTGGAGTTGTACAACTTCTCGATCGGGAGGAGTTTTCCGAGATAGACGAGCGGGGATGCAAGGTCAGCTCGGTGATGAAGCTGGAGACTTTACTGGGAGGCAAGGGGAAGGTGCGAAGTGTCTTGAAGATGCGAGATCTAGTACAGTGGTTAGAGGAAAAGGAAGCACAAGGGCAGACAACAGAGGAAGAGAAGAGGAGTTTGCGGGCGATGAGGGAGTATAGAGATATATATGGTGTGTCTTCGTCTTGAGACTGTATACTCCTTTAAACTTCAATGTATTAGCGAGTATAACTATAGACAATTATAGCATCGATTCACGATGACCAGAAAAACCCTCGCGACTAATTTCTTGGTACTCAATGATGGCGTTCCTCCTTATATCCTACCGGAAGAAGTGTGCACCAAAATAGTCTCCTGGCCAAAGGTACCTTTCAGGGAACATCTGATATCTGAAACCGTCGCGAAAGCATCGTTCAACGATCCCTATTTGGCCTAGTCTCGGACGAGTTGCATTAAGTAACTAACTAGGCCAAAATGCGAACGGGGAACTGAATGACAACTGAATGACACAAGCGGTGCAAGATTATCATATCTAAACTTGATCAGGTGTGCAGATAATGAATTGCAGAACTAGTACTACAGGCAATACGCAAAAAATCTACATTAGATCTGTGTGCATCGTATGGAAAACCTCCTTGTCTGAAAATTTATTCAGGTAGTAATCATCACAGACCTCTAACGAGTTTGCAGCAGTTATCGTGCGATTCATCTTCGAACCATACACAGGGACGAGCTCGACGGCACAAGTAACAGCCGTCAGTGGAATGATGCTGCCAGGTCGGAAGATCCGACCTGTCTCATCCTGATGAAAGATTCGTTTCACCCTGTACATCCCAACGCTTGGCTCGTCAGCAGGCGTGGCTTTGATCTGGAAGTATTGAACGTATAAGAGAGGCGCAGCTTCAAGATAGCGAGGCAAAGTACGGCCTTTCTTGGCGGTAGGTTGGAAAACGCAACACACTTGTGCGATGTAGACGTCTGCAGAGGTTGTAGTAGTAAGCACCTGAATGGCACCGCAGTAAAAATCTTACCATTACTCTCAGTTAATTGTACGAGAACTGCGTCACAATTCCCAAAAGGGAATGCCTCTGAGGGCGGATACGACTGGACGATTTGACTTGGCATGACAACTCGTGACTGGAAGTTGGAGAGGAGTTGTATGCGGAACTTGTTCCACGTCCTAACCGAACCTCCCCGACAGGTCCACGATGTTGTTGGGGCACCCTGGGATGACTTACTAATATACTCAGTGAGCGCCACAGCAAAGTCAGGAAGGGCGTAGGTGTACTGCAGATCGGGGACGGTAAATGATTTTCGATCAGGTGCGACCGTGACATGGAATGCAGCAGTAGCTTCTGCAGAAAGAAGTCCTGTTATGAAGTGGTTGCGGACTGGACGTGGACCATGGAAGCGCTTCTGCTGACTTGGGAGCGTGCGGGCTATCCATGCCAAGGTAGGATCTGTCTCTGCGACGATATCATCTTCAGCAGCAATGGCATTAACGAGCGGTGCGCCATGCGTCTGCAGGAGCGTGTAAAGATTGAAACACTGCATGGTTTCGTCGCGATTGAGAATTTGAACAACCTGTAAAGTAAAACTCTTGGCTTGCCGGCTGGTCCTTTCGAATGGAAACTTGCAGTGAGTAATCAACAGCCGTTCACTGACGTCTGCTGAGTACTGTATCAAACCACCGAGAGCTCTGATAGATCCAGCAAAGCTGTGAAACAACTCCAACTTTGGGATGAGAAAGTTGTCGATGGTTCCACGCTTGCCTCTCCGAGCACCGGCATCGAGGATGCCTTGTTTTAAGCGATGAAACTCGTCGAGGGACTGAACCATAGAAGCGATGGATGAGTCGGTGTGCACGGGGCTCTGTGCCTGATAAAAGAACTCGGTGAGGGCACGTATAGCATGAACGAAATCGGGGGTTGCATTTGTCGCGCCAGCGATAGTGGCAATCATGGTGCGTTCAATGTCGCGATGTTCCCGGCAAGTCATCTGGCTGATGTGGGAGACGCCAGAGCCAAAATGACGTGTTCCGACTCGTTTATGGTGAGCCTTGTAACGCGCATCGAGTTCCTCCTCCCCAACAACTTCCTTGCACCATTTTAGAGCATGGTCACCAAAAAACTTATGACAGGTGTGAAGGAGTTCGCCAGGCAACATATAACCAGGATCCGCAAACCTCCAATCTCTCCAAAACGGTTGATGGACGCCACTAAGCATCAACGATTTAGCTTCGACTTGGAAGCGCGGTACACTCCATGGATCAATGCGTTTGGATAGGTCGTAGATGAGCGTGAGCGTGTGTTGGCCTGTTCGAGGGGGATAGATATGAGCACTACCGAAGTCACTTTGAGTGGCCATCGTGACTGGTGATGTGTTCTTCGAGACACAAGCAACAAGCTGTGCTTCAGGAAGGTCGGCTGTGTAGGCGACAAGCGGAGTAAAACAGTGCCGGATATAACCCATGGGATCTGCCATGTATTCACCAATCTTTGTGGCAACTTTGCATCTGGCGAATATCGTGTCCATACATTTGTGGAAGAGACGGGCATGGAGGAGCGTTTGATAGTCTGCGTGAGCATCGAACTTCGGAATTGGGATAAATGCGATACAACGCCATGCATGAGCGGTGGCCTTCATTCGAACTTCGGATTGAATATTGCCAATCGTAAGGAATATTGGGTGCATTTCTAATCCTCCTGTCATCCTGGTTACGGGCGTTTTGTCAGATGCAAGAATGATTGGTACTATAGTGGCGCCTTCTGGAAGGTCATTCTGTTAAAGATTAGCGAGCAATTTCGTTTATTCAAAGATCCATACTTGAATGGTGAAAGCCCTCTCACTAGTGAAGAATTCGCCATATTCACGCTCTGAGCCAGTCATAACAAGGTGGGGATCGTACATCATGTGATTGGAAAATATCGGGTTTGCAAAGAGATCTTTAACGACTTCAAGACCGTCACGCCAGATGAGTTCCATTGGCCTCGCAGTTGTGTAGTCGATAAACTCGAATGTCGTTGATTGCCACTGAGGGCCACTTGGCAATACATCAATCCAGCCAAATAGTTGATCTGCGCTCTTGAAGGATGGTCGGGATCTACTAGTTTTAAACTTAGGTGAAGTTCAGGCTGTTAGCCACAGTGTGGAACTGCAAAGGCGGATGCTACTCACCCAGTCTAGTTTCAGAAACTTGTTAATGTCGGTTTTGGTCAGCCGCTGCACGATGAATTCTGCTAGCTGCCATTCAGCCTGATCGACGAATGGGTATGAGGGATTTATTGCTCTGCGGCGCTTTTGGTCAGGATCATGATCCTCCATTGTCTGCAAGATATTGTGTCCCCGACCAAAAAGGTACCCTGATTTTGAATGATACTGGCCAGTTACCTCTTCCTGGCCGCTATCGCCTCGTTGGAAAGCTGGAGGAACTGGTAAGCGGTAAGTGGGTTCGTTGCTCCAACAAGAATGCACCGGATCATTGAGATGATCCAAAACAGCGAGATTTGAGACGAATTCTAGTCTGCAATTCGGGCATCTTGCAGAGGAACTACTGATCGTGATGAAGTCAGCGTGATGAAGTCAGTCAGTCACTGCTACTATTTGATGCGGCCTAACTCACCCGTTGTGATCGTGTAGTATTTCTAGTCCAGCTGCAGTGCAGCCCGAGTCAGCCTGTTCCATCGTGCTCCTGCCAGGATTCAACGTTCAACTTTCTTCAAACTCCGACCCACTTGGTTTGTTGCCTCACTGCTTGCTAAGATAGTAGCAGATACACATCCAGCTGTACTTATGGTTCCCCCATCCCTTCATATTTTGTCATCTGTATCTACTATGTCAGGATCTAGCAGATGGACTCGTGTTGAGTCCCTCTGTAATTCCAACCCTTCCAAATCAGCGGAAGAGAAGGTCATTGCTTTGACCACAGACCTCCCACATTCAGACTCTGTCCCCTTCTCGCGCTCAGCGACCTCCTCCTCAAACTCAATTCGCTCTGGTCACGAGTCCCCTATTGGCAGCTCTCGCAGCTCCCGGCGGGGATGCGTTCTGCAAACAGAAGCCACCCTTTCACACGTCGTCCCACCCAAGTCGGGCTGCGTTTTGCCATGAAGGCAGTCCGAAGAAATCATCACTCTGACATCACTCTTAATGATGTCATTAAGGCGAGCAAGTATTGAAGCCACTGAATAACTGATTATTTATGGTGTATTTGACTGTTACAGGGGCGAGACCTTTTTTTGAGCGGTCTCTCATCCTTCTCAGATGATACAATCAAATTAGTAGCAAATGCTAAGCACGCTGCACGAGAAAATAGCCGTCAAAAACTCCTGCAACTCGGTTGGGAGATCGAAGAGGCGAAACTCAACAAGCTAGTCCTCATAGCATTTGAGGACGAGGAGAAGCAGCGCTTGAAAATGGCAGACTCGGATTATCACCTCTTCAAGAAGCTCCTGGTGGACCAGGATATTCCGGCCCTAGACCAGGATGTCGAATGCCTTGCGGAGTCACATGATAGCGAACTCGAAGACTTAGCTACAGCCGACGAACAGCTGTTCCAAATGTCGTCCATATCATCGCTTGCTACCAAATACGTCTCCCACAGGTTCCCCCAGAACAGTAGCGATACGGAGTACGAACCTGGTGAGGAGGAACAATATGACAAGTATAATCATAGCGACAACAGTAGCAACTCGGACAATGACGAGGCGGAAGGTAGCCACGTCTCTACCCTAAAATGAAACAACTTACAAACTTACCCTTTCAGGTTGAACGTTGTCCACGAGGACGGAGTGCGGACAGATGGGCCGGCGGCGTCAATTACAATCCTTTTTTGACTCAATTCACTACTTTCCTGGCAGGTTCTGAGTTCCTATCACGAGACCCCTGATCATGATCTTTTTCAATTCTATACGTTGTATTTTAGCGCTCTGAATAACAGAAGCTTTCGTTTGATTGGCGATCAATGAGTACGTTCGCATTGGGTAAGATCAGATAACTAACGTGGATTCACACCACGAGCATCGATGAGCAATCCTCCAGCCAATTCCACTACCAGCAGGCGAAAGCCCAACCCCGCAAGAGTACGTACGATCTAAATTCTGTTCGCTCTTCTTTCCTGACTGCCGTGTAGAAAGGTTTCCGGCCTGGAGTCAATTCAGAACTCAACCCCAGTGGGCAGCCGGTCATCACTCAACTCAACCTACTCGGTGATCGCGTACAAACGCCTGAACAATACCAGGTTCAGATGAATCCCTCCATGCAGCATCCCACGCATTCCCATCAAGCGTCAACGGCACCTCAGCCCCAACAGTATCAACTACCGGTACCACAATATCTGCCGCCCCCACCCCATCAGCACCAACCCCAGCACCAACCTCCCCAGCAGTATGAGCCTCCGCCGCCGCCCCAGTACCAACCTCCCCAGCAGTATGAGCCGCCGCCGCAGCCCCAGTACCAACCTCTCCAGCAGTATGAGCCGCTGCTGCAGCCCCAGTACCAACCTCTCCAGCAGTATGAGCCACCGCCGCAGCCCCAGTACCAACCTCCCCAGCAGTATGAGCCGCCGCCGCAGCCCCAGTACCAACCTCCCCAGCAGTATCAAGCTCACCAGCGGTATGAGCCCCAGCAGCATCAACGCCACGAATGGAACACGGGTACGGCGCAGTCGCAGGCGTATGCAGGCGCATTCGCACTTCTCCAGGGTGAAGGATCAAGACTGCCGTCACAACCAGATCTCGGGAGCGGGTCTATGGCCCCATGGGGGGTTTCGCGACTCATTGCCCTTGCACCCTACCATGTGGGAGAGAACGTCCGTGGGGAGCAAACCCAAGGCGTTATTCGTGTAAGTGATCATTCCTCCGAGCTTGAATACTAACTTAGTGACTATACAGCGCACAAAACACGTTTCGGACAGCGGGAGACGACGACAAAAGACGAACCTACCTCCCACACCCATGATACCAGTAGCCAATGCGCCCGAGGAGCCTGCAGCACCTATTTCGACGCGCATCGCACTCGATTCAAAAGAGGTGCGACAGTATAAGGAGCTCGCTAAAGAGAAACTTCGGGGCTTGATCGTTACGGTGGCTGCTAATACTGACGGTGCTCCGAATGACGCAATGCGCAACACGATGATCGAAACCGCGCTGCGAAACGCACGAATTGAGCTCTACGGTCAAGGTATGTTTTATTTGTTTCGAAATCATCTACTACTGATAAGTTACTAGTGGATATCGAGAACATCAAAGGTATACATAACTACATGGTGGCTTCATTAGCAGACATGCGACGTGCTCTCAAAGTACATGTGCTCAATACCGTTCCGCTAGGCTACAGCCTCCGCCTACCTTTATTTTCCCTGCTCGACGAGGCGGCGCACAAACGGGACACAATCCAAACGCTGCTAGACGGAGGGAGGTACCTACATTTGTATGAGCAGGTACCCGTTTTTTTATCATCAGCGGGACTGTTTCTCACTCACACCTGCAGACTGTCGACGACGTGGATATCGAACGGCTACTCGAAAACGAGGTCCTCGTCAACATGGTTATCGACGTGTTGATCGGAGGTTGGGACACCAACTTGGAAGGCCCAATGGACCAAGTGTTCGCATCCTGCGGCGCTGCGATCTATTGTGTGCTATATGCACATCGCACAGGCCGATTCACTGACGTGTCAGTGAATTCGGCCACGTTCGACGATGCATACCAAGATATCATGGCGATCGTTCGAACTATTCGTGCTTCGGATGTCTTGAGTGCGAGGTTTGATGGGGTACAGCAACAGGTTGGCCTCCGAGTGGCCAACCATTAGCTCAGTAGTACGACGCGCTGATAATAATAATCTTTCACATCTAATCACATCGAATTCCGTAAAGTTTACGACGTAAATTCGACGTCCGAGTCCTCCACCAATCGCCTGAGTTCGCTACTGAAGTCGTAAGTGTTCGTAAGTGTTCGTAACGCGCGTAGGTTAAGCGTTCATTTCAGTCGTTTTGCAGATGAAGAGGCTTAAAAAACAGGCGAACAAGAATCAAGATCTCCATGGGTCAAGAATTAACGCTCCGCGTAGTAGGTACTACACCGTTTGTACCAGATATGGTATATCAGACAATGTTATGAGGTTATGGTGGACGATAGGTTACGGTTCGATTTGCCGATTTGCCGCGACTTATTTTTGAATTCCGATCGATGTTTGTTTCAGTACTGTGAAATTTATTAATGTATACCTATAATTTACTTTCACCATGTTACGGTCCTGTCACAATCACACATCAGCGCTTCAGCGTGCACTCTACAGACATGCTACGTTCTCAAAATGTCTTCCAACCTGAATATCTTTGGCCAGAAGACTGGCCAGGGCCAGTATGTCATCCTTTAACTAATCAATCATGGTATCTTGACACATGTCAGGTTTGGTTACGGTATCTACACTTCGTCGACGTCATCGAAATCGAATGACCCACCATTTGCTCTTGTGATGCTGCGCTGTTGAAAGCATGCTGTCAGCGACTCGGCACGACCATTGAATTGGTAAGCTGATATTGGACATGCTGTACGAAGCATAGGAATAGTCCAATGACTACTTCTCGGCCGTGAAGGCTGTCAGCAGCAACAGTGGAATTGTTATTGATATACTTGATGAATCTGCCATGGATCTTCTCCTCTACAAGATAGATAGCATCGAGGCTGCCATCAAGACCATCGGGGATAGCCAGCACAGCACGAACAACACGAAGACGTGGTATAAGATCCACAACATCCTGGCTCACTTTACCAGTTTTCAGCATCTCATCAACAAACGTATATGCCATCCCAACCAAGGATTCACCCCAGTACAAGCAGTTTACTTCATCAAGCATCTTACTAAGCTCGTCCTCTCTTCCAAACCGGCGGTGCCCTTTCACTTGGTTATCCTGGAAGAAGACTCTTTTGGCAATGAGCTGCGTGGCTGACAGGATAGAGAGTGGAGACGAGCTGGAAGCGCCTAGGACAGAGACCATGGCAGAATGACAGGTTTTGAAACTTCCTGCTGTGCCAATCATCAACCTTGCATTAGTGTCTACAGCAAGGGTTGTTGAACGATACGATATGCACGATACGATACACATGCTTCTTGTCCCAGAGGATTAACCTCTGGGACTTCTCTTTCCTTATTTGCCACTGGATCTGGCAGTCGCCTGGAAGTTCCCGACATCCCTGGGAAGGTATGTAATGCTCGAACTCATCAAAACGTGACTCATGGACGCAGGCAAGCTTCAAAGGGTCTGCCGTGCACTTGTCAGAGTTCAATTCTGCAGCTAATCATATTGGTAAGAAAAAGCAATCGTAGTCGGCTGTTGCATTTCTGGTTGGTTTGTCGTATCTTTTGTATTGAACGAGGTCTAAATATTTCATCAGCACACGACATTGCTCAAGATTTCTGTAGTCACGGTGTCAACATCACAATGTGTGTTCTTTGGTTCAAGTTATATCATTTTCATATCTCACGGAATACTAGGTATCAATGATCGTCGACATTCGTGATCTCGACGGTGTCAGTGGCAGCAATGCTAGGCGGTAATTGTTCCTGTGGTTGTCGGTAGCTTGACTTGACTTTCCTTGCCTAGCGGTCTATAATGACGACTTCCCCACTGAGCTGGCTGGTACTTACAATACCTTGCTACCTTGGGCAGTTGTTAGGCGGCTGCATTAACATATGGTTTTTATGGTTGCTGAGACCGCAGACAAGTATGTTGGACGATTCGAAGGCTCACTTCCAGATACATTAATCACAGTCACAGGGCGATTCTAGATGGATTGGCTTAAGGTTGGCTTTGAAACCAATCTTGGCATACATGGAGTAGGTAGTATGTCCCTTTACCTGGAGCACAGCGGTGGCTACCACATCGGTGGGTGTACCTCTGATACACAACGAAGATGTCTCTCAACAGCTTCCAGACACCGGAGCGAGTACATCTATTATCGACAGGGATATTCAAATCGAGAACGGTTTCCGCAATTGAGTTTTTCACAGAAAATGGCCTTCAATTTGCTGATGGCACCGAGCTACAGGCAGATATCACAGTATTTGCTATGGGGTATAATCATATTTCACTTTGACAAGCAGGACTCATAGTTGCTTACAGTTATGGCGATCCCCATGACTTCATGCCTGAAGTTTGCGGAAATGAAATCACATCAAAAACCACCAGGGTCTGGGGTTTAGATGAAGAAGGGCAATCTGCAGGAGTGTGGAGGTACTGCAGGCATGATGGTTTGTGGTTCGCAAATGGAATTTTGCGTCGTTCTTGTTATGGGCGCATCAGTTTTATCTTGATGAACAGGTAATTTGGCTCTATCGCGCTTCCACAGTCTCCATTTGGCCATGCGTGAGTTCCTTCCTTGTGGTATATAGAGCGTTGCTGATGATCGAAAATATAGAAATGAAAGCAATAGAAGGTATTTTGAATAAGGCGGACATTGTTATTTGATGACATTTCAAAGATCTGCTTATGATCAGGGCTGGAAGACCTGTAAAATGTACGAGTACTTATTGTGTGAATTAAAGGTGTATGTACAATGAATTCAAGGCAATTTTCACTGGAGCTTTCATACAATGGTCACAGTAGTGCTTGATGGGCTGAACACAATTGATACCGAGCTGTTGTCCACGCTTAAATATGTTAGATAGTATCTCACTTGTGATAATATCATCTGATCTTAAAGTTAAACATAGTAATGTGTTTTGAAGGCCAGTCAAGAAATGTTCCATTATCACAGTGCCATCACCTTATATAATGATACATGTATCAGAATTATATCTCCCTCGTAAAATCATATAATTTCACAGCTGAATGTGTTTCAATGCCAGCCAATTATAATGGTTGGATCATACTGCTGACAGCTTATAATATACACATCAGAATCATATCCCCCTCGTAAAATCATATAATTTCACAGCTGAATGTGTTTCAATGCCAGCCAATTATAATGGTTGAATCATACTGCTGACAGCTTATAATATACACATCAGAATTATATCTCCCTCGTAAAATCATATCTTATTTCATATGTGTGTGACAACATGATAAAATGATATAATTTCACAGCTGAATGTGTTTTGATGCCAGCCAATTATACTGGTTAAATCATACTGCTGACAGCTTATAACACACACATCAGAATTATATCGCCCTTATAAAATCATATCTTATTTCATATATGTGTGACACCATGATAATATCATATAATTTCACAGCTGAATGTGTTTCAATGCCAGCCAATTATAATGGTTGAATCATACTGCTGACAGCTTATAATACACGCATCAGAATTATATCTCCCTTATAAAATCATATCTTATTTCATATTTGTGTGATACAATGATAAGAATATTCAGATGTAAAGCTAGACATACAATAATGTGTTTTGTTTGTCATATACATCTGGTCATAACAGTTTCAGGTCAATTTCCTGATGGGGATGTCTCAGAGACATGTTGTGTCCTACAAGGAAACCAGGTCTGACAGACCGTGGGAAGCACTAGAAAGTGCTGCCAAGGGTGCCATTTGAACAATATATTGTAAAGGCATGAATTCGTCTATCGTCTCTAAGACTGAGTCAGGCCAGGGTCGGTCCGTAATCAAATCTTAGAGCAGTCAAACTATGTCCATGTAATTACACGGCCGTTTGTGACCTCTTGTGACGGGAATATTTGAGGTGTACCAAAGGTGTACTGACAAATAGTTCAAAAGACTAGAACAAACATTGATCGGACTTCAAAATAAGTTGCGGCAAATCGGCAAATCGAACCGTAACCTATCGTCCACCATAATGAGGTGTCCTATCTTCTCGAAACGCAGCAGTCTAATCACTCCTGAGTATGGCGGCATGCGTGGGCGGCTGAAGCTTTATCGTGAGTGCTAGCAGAGAGAAACCAGAAAAAGTCCAATACCTTATGCGTCTCCTCCTCCCGGTGCCCATCGCATCGACCTGGCCCCAAACGTTACACTATTCGATCACGACGCTCTGAAACATATCTTGGTGTGTATGTTGCACGCTCAACTTACTATATTGTATCGCCTCAGTTGGTTCAACTCCTTCCGCCAACTAGGATATATGAATATTGACTTGGACTCATGAACTTGTTCTTGTTGGGTACCTTCATTCTTTTGCGTCCGGCTCTGCTGAGGGAAGGTTATGAACGTGTCAGTAGCGCAGTACTCGTCGGCCGCTTGTTTCCACCAACTGAGAGCGATTGGCTATGACGGTCCCAATCCTTCCTGGATGAAGTGATCCAATACCAGAAATATCTCCCTAGGCGCACCTCTGGCATAAGGAATAGCATCAAGTATTCTGGATGGAGCGTATGGGTGAAATTTATGGTAGCCGGATTGCATGTCTCCCATCACAAAGCATCGGACTGAAGACTCTGCCTGGGCATTATCAGTTGTACTGCATGGATATACATGGCCACATTACACCTCAACACGTCAAATTGTCCCACTGCAGACTAGTGCGGGTAGAAACGACTCGTCAGGTACAGTGGCTGTAGGGTTACACTGGAGATGTCAGAAAACTGCTGAATGAGACTCCATTTGAGTCAGCTTGAAAAGAATCGGAAAGTTGGGCGCAGCACTGGGTACATGATCACAGAGCTACGCTGGCACTGTATAGATTGCTCCATGAGCAGACAAAAAATATTCGGTATCCCAGATCCGGGCTTACGTTGGCGAAGTTCGAACTGTTACGCAAACACGTCCGTGGACCGTCGGCTCCATTTCGAGGGCGACATTATGGAAAATTGAACGAATGGACTCGTCTGGCATATGGGGATGGATGCTGGTCTTTGGGTAGTTATCAATAATATATCGAAGGATCTTCCATACTTCCTATACCTAGCATAGAGGCAACGTAGACTCAGGAGTTTTGAGGAAAGAGATATATTACCATATCGGGAATACCAAGTTTGAGGTGCCTGCAAGACAATCTATCTAATCCTCGTGTGCATTCTCTTCTTTTGATTTTTCCTATTCTTGCATTTATTCTACACTATGGCTGAGGCTACCACAGACACACCAAAGCCTGCAGAAAAACCACGGTTGATCAGCGAAGCCGATGTAACAAAGTACAAGGTATGAAGAGCGTAGTAATCATCGTGCTTGGTTTATGAAGTCTGATCGAACGACTGCGATGTCGTATAGACTGCTGGTGACATCGTACACGATGTTATGAAGAAACTGATCGAACTCTGCGTCGAGGACGCAAAGATCATCGATCTTTGTATCGAGGGTGACAAGTTCATTGAGGAGGGGACTGGTGGAGTTTACAACAAAGCCGTGAAGGGTGTTAAAATGAGCAAGGGTGCGTCAGATCATTTTTATGTTTTTGAAACGATGTTCATGACTTTTGACAAAAAGGCCTTGCATTCCCCACATCGATTTCTGTGAATAACACTGTCTCCCATTTCTCCCCTCTGGCGTGCGTGGATTTTTATATTTTATCGTGTAGACCCTTTTAGAACTTTACTTTATTATAGTTCAGATCCCCTATCCTCCCAGGCCCTTGCTAAAGGCGATGTAGTAAAGGTACACATCGGTGCACATATCGACGGTTTCGCCGCCATCAGTGCGGAGACCATTGTCGTCGGCGCATCCGAGCAAGAACCCGTAACTGGCAGAAAAGCAGACGTAATTAAGGCAGCTTGGAATGCAGCTGAGATCGCCATGAGGCTCGTGAAGGTTGGCAACAAAAACTTTACGGTCACCGATGCCGTCGCGAAAACTGCTGCGGCGTGGGATTGCAAGCCCGTCGAAGGTGAGTTTTGTGATGAACTGAAGTGCAAGCAATTCGCACCTGATGCTACGGATTCAGGCATGCTCTCTTGCCAGCAGTCGCAAAATGTCATTGATGGCAAGAAGCGCATCATTCTGAATCCGAACGAAGCGCAGAGACGTGATATTGAGTCGATCACGTTCGCAGAAGACGAGGTTTATGGAATTGATATTCTCATTTCCTCAGGAGAGGATGGCAAGGTCTGGTGCTAAATGCAAACGAGAAATGAATCTTGATCGTTGAACATTTGACAGGCACGTATCGAGGATTCTCGAACGACTATCTACCAAAAAGATAGCTCAGTAACTTATCAGCTGAAGATGAAGAACTCGCGTGCTGTGTTCTCTGAAGTGCAGAAAAAGGCTGGCGCCTTTCCATTCAATGTTCGTGCACTGGAGGATGAGAAGAGAGCAAGACTTGGTCTTCAAGAGGCCGTGCAACATGGCTTGATCAAGCCGTATGAAGTCGTGTACGTGGATCACGTTCCTAATTCCTGACGCATTTAATGACATCGCCGTAGGTACACTCCTGCAAACACATTTGTGGCAGCATTCCACTTTACGATCGCATTAGTTCCTGCCGGCCCGCTGCTGCTGACTCACCCTCCGGTGTGGTACAAGCCAGAGCTGGTGAAGGCTGAGAAGGAGTTGGAAGATGATGAGCTCAAAAGCCTGTTGACCAAGTCCCTCCGTGAGAGCAGAAAGAGTAAGAAGAAGGCAAAGGAAGCTGAGGGTAACGCGGATGACGTATAAGAAGCCAAATAAAATGACGTGTAAAGTAGACGATCGCCGCAGTTCGGCGATTGGTGAACTTTTCTGTACTACCATGAAGGCTGTCGAAGGGAACTATGTCTTCCTTACGAACCATTGTTGTCCACATGACTCATCACCTAGAAATCCCGTTCCGAGTTCTCTCCAAACTCGCCAATAGTCCGGGCTACTAGATCTACGTTCTCCAGAAAGCCATTTGTCGTCAGCCTCGCCAGTCGAACAGTTGAAGTCGCGAATGATCTGCGTTTCGTTAATATCATGTGTGCGATAGGCGACCTCTCGTGAATACATACGCGACGAGATCATTGCCGTCCACTGTCAAAGTGCGTTTGACGGCTTCTCTCTGAAGCTCTGGATCCACGTCAATCACTTGCATTGCTATCGTTGCATGTTTTGGGTTCGCAAAGGGGACTCTTATGGTACTATCATGATGGTAAGTTTTGGACGAGGTTGGAAGATTCAAGACAGGAACATGCTCAGGCTTACACCGTATGCCACGGAGTATCGGTCATGATGATGATGGCAGCTAGTAAGTTCTTTCCTTGGCTGCTTTGTAGCTGCTAGCGGTACTTGTTGTTTGACGTTGAGGTAGCGTGGTGCTACCAGCTGAAGAGTCGGAAGATGATTGATAACCGGTGCGAGCGCTCCGAGTCTGCAAATGTTTAAACATGCATTCAACACAACCGCCCAACATTCGGCACAGAAGTTACTAGCCTCGTTCGCCATCGGCATCTGATGATCGTCGATCACTAGGAGACTGCGATGCGATGCGATGCGATGCGTTCAACTCAAGGAACGAATCTGAGGATACTCTCATGCTTCTTGATGTCTCAGCGTTTCCGAGTCAACGTTCAGATTGTGAAACATGGTGCCACGGTCGAAGCTGCCGACGGCAACAGCTCCGAGTCGTCGCGATGATTTTCCAGGCAAAGATCATTTCTACCGTACTAGCTCAATTCGAAGCTTCCTCTGCGGTGTACTGTATTCCGAATTCCTCAGGAATGAGTTCGTGGATTCCTCAATAACCCAGTGGATATGAGCTGAATTAATATGTTGTATAGATCCATCTTGGACAACTGCGACGACTGCGTTGGTCGCAGCAGTCACGATCTCGAAAGTCTTCAAATTCATTTCGGGTCTAAAGGTGCGAAGCTTATGACTTCATCGTTTTTTATGATCATAATTGATATTAATCTCTTCGCTTAGGCAGTGGATTACCTTCCGGGCTTATGGGTGCCATTTCAGCCCCTCAGTTTGCTAGGCGTGCTCGTACCAGAGAGGTCATGGAACCCGGGTATGATGGATTTTCTCTCTCAAAGTACGATACTATCGCCTAATGTAATCTGCTAGGTGTAATCTTCGTCTGGACGTGGAGACATACCAGAAATAGTAAGTGTTGACATCCCCACTACACATCTGGCGCATTCACCGTCATCCCTGTCCACCACTAGTTTATCGTCGCTTTGACAGTGACACAGTCTCGGTGGTACCTTTTTTCTCTGGCGCACCGTCAATATACACACGATCTATGGATGTCACCAAGCAGGTCGTGACTGTTGGTCACAAGACAGGTGCATTTGGGAAGGCTGATGATATGGGTCGCTTGTTTTTGTGAGTTGACCTCCTCCGTCGAACCATCGCATCATTTCAATGAATGTTAGATTTTGGGGTCCGAATGTTGTTGCGGTGACGTCTCAGGATCAATGGAGAAAGCACAGGAGGGTCACTGGACCTGCGTTCAATAAGGATACGTGCGTTTTGTGCTTAGCTTTGGGATAAGCCTACCATAACCTATTATCGCAGCTATCAACTTGTCTGGAATGCTACACATAAGGCATATTCTGAGATGATTGACTGTGAAGGGTGGGGAGAGAAAGGGACAATAGACATTCGACGTATCCAATCACTGACAATCAAGGTAAGTGTCCTCGTGCAGCGCTCATACTTGAGACTAATCATTTGCAGTTCACCCTCATCATCATGGCTACTGCCGGCTTCGGTCTCCCATTTTCCTGGGGAGAGCCACCCTCTCATGATGGACGAATGACAATTCAGCAATGTTTGGAAATTATAACGCTTAGAAATACCTTTGCGATTGCAGCTCCAAGATGGGCTTGGAAATTGCCGCTGCCATGGTAGTTTTTCCTTCCCCAATTCTTCAAGTTGAGTGTCATTGACATTCCGATTCATAGGGTTCGGCAGACCCGTGAAGTGTTCGATACAATGAGGGCATTCATGAATTCTCATGTCCAGGCGAGGCGTGAAGCCATAGATTCTTCAGCCGATGATGATACATCGAAAGATATTCTTTCGTTGTTTGTTCGAGCGAGCGAACATGATGAGGGAAAGCTACATCTGGACAACAAGGAATTGGTACTCTTTTCCAAAATCTCGGAGAATGTTTTGCTGAATGGTCGTTGTAGATCGGGAATGTCTTTGCATTGCTATTTGCTGGCCATGGTGCGTTTTACCACATTGATCATACTGGAGTTTTAAGTGATTCTTCACAGAGACCACATCACACAGTCTGGCAGCTACTCTTGGTTTTCTATCATTACACCCATTTATTCAGGACGAGATAGTCGAGCAAGTTCACGAAGTCACTAAAGGGCGTGAAAATGGCGAGATTGTGAGCCTGTTCGAAATCAGACGTCTCCAATACATATATATAATCGCATTTTTAGACATTCGACGACTATAGCAAACTGGACAAGGCTCTCGCAGCATTTTATGAAGGAGTCAGAATGTTCCGTATGTGACTTTTCTTCTGACTAGTTCCAAACTGAGCTCCTCCTAGCTTCTGGTGTCTATCTCATAAGGGAGGCGAAGCAAGACACAGTGCTCAATCTTTCGAGCATTGGCGAGGAACCGAAGATGTTGCCAGTCAAGAAAGGTACACATGTAAGTTGCAATTGGTCTCCCAGAAGATGGTTAGTCATCTCACGCTGTGGATAAATAGGTCATAGTCGACATGATCGGTGTCCGTACGTGTGATTATATTGTTCTTGGATACTCCCTCACCTTACAGGATGACTAGATTACAACCCAGAATATTTCCCTGACCCCGAAGAGTTCAAACCTGCACGTTGGTATGCGAACAGCACGAGCAATGCATATATTGCAGGCGGCGAAGATCACACTGGTTTTAGTGTTGGTATGTACCATGCTGCCGGTTTCGTCTATGTCAATGGTCATTCAATGCTGCTTCCAGGCCCACGCTCCTGCCTTGGCAAGAAATTCGCGACAACTGAGGCCGTTTGTTTCCTAGTACTGCTTCTACGCGACTGGCGCGTTGAGCCTCTCCTGTCTGTCAATGTCTCTACCGGAGAAAAGGAAACCAAAGAGGAATGGCGCAAAAGAGTTATGCAGGCCAAAATGACTATTACATTAGGCGTCAGGGATGTTCCGCTGACATTTACAAAGCGGGTTTAGTAAGGGAGACCCCCATGTGGGTTCCATCAGTCTTGTGCGTGCCAGCGTCTTTTCCCCATTGTTCATTCCCTGCAGCACCTGCGGCCAACAAGAGTTCGAACATTCGTATACCAAGGCACTCCAGATCAACATCTACGTCCATCGCATGGTTGGTGCAAGTGTGCGTGGGCAGCTAGTGCTGGTAGAGATCTTCATCGATTTAGATATTATCAGCTATAGCAAATCACTTGACTAAATAACATGACGAAAACTTTGTATGTCTCCTTGAAATCTACTTCGGAACACCAGATAACTTGGATCAATACCTTGAAGAAAGTAGGAATAAATAGAAACGAAATCCCCTGCTCCTTGCAGAGCACTAGACAACTGTTAACTTCACCTCAAACACCACTGCCAATCGATATATGCACGCGTTCCTGGAAAGTGATTGAGGTCATGCCAGTTGCTGCGTCAGAATCGGCCACGAGCTTGGCGTGGTATTCCCGAACACCAAGGATCAGGCGCGGGCCCAGCACAGACATCTGCACGACCTCCAAAATCTGAAGAAGCCCAGAAACAATACTAGCGTCCACGAAATTGTCCTATAGAAACGATAAATTGTGGTAGCGTGCATAGGCAAGGGAAAAATTGACATACTATTAATGATTTTGGAGATAAACCAAGAATGAGATGGAAGAAAGAAACAGCAACAAAGCTACCACACCCGACCCTTCAGTGGTAAAAGGAACAATAATCACAATATGAACTTACCTCGCAAAATAAACCACGTAAGTTTTCATCAACACCTCGATAATCCCTCCTGCCGATTGTTGTCGCAGGTCACGGAAGTATTTCACCGCAATCCAGACTGCGAGACATAGTGCGAGGACCTCCCACACAGTAACGAGTATCCAAGTAATGGAAGCCAGAAGTGGGATATCATGCGCATAGTTAGACTGACACTGATAAGTGCCAGAGAGAATGAGTTCCTCTAGTATTCATCATTGAGCCCCATGCACGTTTGTTTTCATCCACGAATAAGCGTACCCGCCGAAACATGTAGGGTTATCATCAAGGTGACCACTCCGGTGAAAATGTTCACAGCCGGGAAGGTGACAATGAGAAATATCAGTATCCTTCTGGATCCTTGATACATAGCATGCAACCGAGTAATTATGATGACTTGCAGCATGTTTCAGTCAAGTCAATATCACTGAGGTCTCGGAAGTGCAAAGCTCACCCCACAGCATCGCAAATACCACAACAACCATCCAATCCCATACGACGAACACAATAAAGCCTGACGAATCCAGTCAGTGACCAGCCTGGGGTAGCACACATTCCAAACAAACTCACATCTGTGGAAGTATAGCGTGGTAGTCATTCGTGAACCAGAATATCAGTAAAGAACCACACCCACTGCTACAGGGCATCACGGTTAGTTGGATTCGGGGATAGTAGGCATCTGTGCAGAAGACTCACTGTATCTGTCAACGAGATGGTCGGAACATTGACTATATGTCGTTGGTCAGAAGAAGCAAAGACAGTGAATGTACTAAGGAGACATACGCAGTATGTACAGGCTGATTATGAGATATAGACGATTAGCACAACACCGATTGTGTAGCCTTCCGAACATACCCAGCAGATAAGATTCCAATATAGCGCGCCTAGGATACTTTCAAGTCAGCACAGCATGGCAACCGCGACAAACAAGTTACATACACCGAGATACACAGCTGTTATTAGGGACCATCGTTGTCTCTGGAATCAAGTGTATGTTCATGTGTGTTCCTCTGACACCAGACTCTACTCACCCAGATCAGTTCCACCTATAAAGCCATTCTCAGCGAGATGGCTGCTCCGGTTATAGCATCGACATACCTCTTGTCCAAATGTAAGTGCTGAGGATACTTGTGAGATATCAACAGTTTTTTAATGTTATCATGCTCACCCCAATCATACGTCACTCCGACGAACGCGGCAACTGCGAAAACACGGCCAGGGTTAGATTGTGTCAGCTTCAATATCCGACTGCTCTCCACGGGCGTGCAAAATAGCTGGCCAAACGATGTGCATTGATGATCGGCCACCAAGTGGGACCATTTGAGACTATGATCATATTGGTAGAGAATTGTGTGTGGATGAGAGGCGAACTTGATGGACATGTGATGATGGCATTCGTGCTAGTTATACCACCATCCAGTGCATAGATCAGCGAAACGATATCGGGGGATGATGGCTGTTCCTGCTTTGATTGATCGAAGTACTATTTACCATGCCATTCTCGAGATGTTTTTGCTACACGAGCATCAGCCCATCAATGCAACCAAGCTGTTCGCACATGTTCAAGATCGTGGTGCGACCGCATCGGAAAGCCTGTCATCGCCTCGCCAGCACAGGCCCGGGGAGCATAACAGCTCATTCAAGGACACTCAACAAATGCACATTGCGTCAGCATGACGCCAGACCAGAAAAGACAGCCGTCAAAAATAGCGGAGATTGGTACATTAGAAACAAATTCGCATCTTACCCTGGCTGCCGATACCGCCCTGCGAGCACATTTCATTGTCTCATCTCGTCCTTAGGTCATCTGTCGCTTCATGCGCACCCTCTCGCTCTCTGCCTCGGAAACTGGGCTATCGCATCATCTGGATGCCCAGATGCACACATTCTGTCTTGGTGCGTGCCAGCGTCTTTTCCCCATTGTTCATTCCCTGTAGCACCTGCGGCCAACGAGAGTTCGAACATTCGCTGTTCGAGTATACCAAGGCACTCTAGATCAACGTCGACGTCCATCGCAGACAGACCATAGTCGAGAGTCACAAGTCATTGTAAAGTGAGTGCTCTAGAATCTATACAGTCTGAATGTCATTGTCTCGTACTATATTACTAGGACTCACTGCTGCCGCGTCCACTACCGCATCCGTGCCCCAACACGCCCAACACGTCCTCTAAATTCAGCCTCTCAAAGGCATGTCCGAGAGGCGCATAGTTGACGAGTTCGACGAGTAATACTGCTAGGTCAATTATCTTGTGTATGATTAGAGTAGTTGTCGGAAATGAGCGCTAGCGTTGAATGTATGTTTCGGTGTGGTGCGGAAGTGATGCGTTAGTGGTGCGGCAAGTTGCGGCAGTGATGCGGCAAAATACCTGAGCCCCACATGACAGGACCGTTCGATTTCAGACTGCAAAGCATCATGGACGGTCTCACTGATACTATCATAGGCCCCTTTCAATTCTGGTATTTGAGTGACATGGCTCACTACAGTCATCCAAAACCGCGTTGATCGTCAACGTTAACACTCAAACAATATGGCAAACGATCCCTTGTACATTCAAATTTATTTTTTCATCATGTATGCGACAACTCCGCTTGCATTTGCGGCCATACCGCTGCTGCCAAGTGATTTGATCACCCTGTGGCAATTCATCTTTACTATATCTCCTTTGCTTTTTTCCCTCGTCCACACATGTCGTCAAAGCTTGTCCAGGACTCGGAGTCATCAGCCATATTGGCTCAAGGCATCTGCTGCTGTCTCATGCTATTACAGGTGCGGTGTTTTTCGCTGCCCTAATCCAAGACTGGCTCGGTGAGTAGTAATTTATCTCTACTAGATTGCCACTAATTGTTATAAATGACTCGGAAGGCCCAAGCTGGCTGGGTGCAGTCCAGGCGCCACTGGTGTACTTGTGTGCATTTCTCACCACCGCAATGTTATACTCTCATGCATGCTGGTCAGCCGCAGGGGACAGCAATGCGCTTGGGTCGCTGGGCGACCTAGCATGTTTTGTTTTCAGCCTCGTCGTCATCTGTGATACACATCCACAACCTTCTAGCGACCCGACCCGACCCGACCCACACACACTCAGGCTCCTTCAACACTAAACATGGCTCCCAGTCCCTCGTTCGACGGTGCAGATCCCAGTACCTCGTTCGACGGCGCGGCTCCCAGTACCTCGTTCGATGGCACGGCTCCCAGTACCTCATTCGACGGCACGGCTCGGACGGATGGCATTGTAAATTTCAAATACCAGAAGGTGCAGGTGAGACTTGCCAGTGCGTCATCATGATGTGGCTGTGCATGCCAACGGCTTTCGTTTCCTGCACTCTTGAGTCTTTACAACTCTACATCCAACAATGAACCAGCTATTCACAATTTACTTTGTATTCACTTACTTCGGCGAGCTACTTGCTGCAGGCATGGTCGGCTTTTTTGCCCCTGTTGGATTCCTGTCTCCATTCATGCTTAGCATAACTCTCTTATCCTTCCTACTTGCACTGCTTCATGTTCGCCTGGTGCACACAGTGTTGTCAGCACACAAAACCGATCCCCCCGTCCGCAATTGCCTCTTGTCTCATGCAGCAATGGGTTCAGGATTTCTGGTGGTCTCAATCGAAGTTCGCTCTTACGACAGTGAGTACTAACCAAGTGTCCTAGTATCTGGAATCTGGATGACACTAATTGCTGTTTGCTGTAGTAACACAAACCCTGCCGCTCAAAGGATATTTGGGAAATCTGATAATACCAGTGTTTGCCTGCATATTACTTTGCACGATCATCTTCTATCGTTGGTCGCTAGGCTACTGCGCTGACAGGCAAGATTTGGGGTCGCTGGGGGATGTTTATGACTTCTTGCTCTCATGGTTTTCATCACGTATTGCGTCCCATACCAACACTCCGGAAACACTCCCTCAAACACTCTCCGAGCCATTCACCAAACATTGCTTACGCTTCGGCACTCCCATGTCACCTGTAAGTCACACAGCGGGTAGCTCGGACGTACTTCCCCAACCTTATTACCAGGTATGTTGCTGTTCTTCTTGCTGATTCGAGACTGAATTCGTTCTCCTAGCTTTCAGACCAAGACCGCAGAAAGAGGCAATCAGATGAAGAATCTTATATTGGTTTCCATGTGTAGGACTTGCGCAACTACTTTTGCTTCTCGCTGTCTTTCGAAAAAACGGAGACGCAAAAAGATAGGAGTCGAGAGAAATTTTTGGTGTATCGATAGGTTTTCGCTCTGTTTAGTTTAATATATGCGCTCGAAAATCATTAATGCCCTCTGACCCAGAAAATGGTATCGCTACAGATCTAATAGACCGAAGTCATCGATGGGTATCGCTGTGAAATGTTGATATTAGATGATATAGTAGGGTATCCGCTAGTCCTCGCCCTGCCCGCCACATCACCTCTCGCACTAGGGCTACGCTTGGGTCCTGCTCTTAGTCGGTAACGTTGGCACTATCGCTGGCTTGCACCATCAAAGACAAGAACATGTGGCGGGCAGAGGAAGTTGACAGTGTTGTCGAAGTTTGTGGGAAGGCAGGAGTGCTGGTGACAGCCTGGGTGTAGTTCAGGCCCCGGCAGTATATAAGCATATGTTTTCGGCATTAGCTCAGACTTGAAGCTTAAGCTTGAGCGCCTGTTTATGGCGTGCCGACCGTCTGCCAAGGCAGTCGTAAGCGATTGCACAGTAAGACACTTCGAATTCGCGAACCACTGCCAAATGACGTTTATTCTATAAGTTGTCACCCGAGTCACCGTGGGCTGTTGCAACTTGCAGTGGCTACTCGGCCAAAGCTTCATGCATGCATGTTCAGAAGCAATTTGTCTGATGTTCACGTGGGCCTCGGCCCACTGCGGTTCAAGTTATGGCTATATGTGACCGAACATTCATTCTGCTCTCCACTTGTGCACTCTCCTCTATTGACGACATTTCACGAAAAACGACTTATATCACGCTCTTACTACTAACTTATACATTCCTCGAACCTTTCTGTCAAGTCTTTGTACAAGCCTGTATATGTGTCATGGCTAGTAGTTGGCGCGCCGCGGTTGTGCTGCCCTACTTGATACCGCTTGTCCTATGTCAATATACTCCACTACCTAGGTACGTTAATTATGTTTGTTAACGGGCACTTATCAGTGACGGTACAATAGATGGGCACAGGCGGTGGCTTTATTGGAAAATCTTCTATACGTTCACGGAGGTCTGACAGATCAGTATGATCAATACTCGTACACATCTGCACCGCCCACATCAGAACTATTGCTACTTGACCTTTCCATATCCTTCAGCGCCACTTCCCCGCCGTGGCAGCTGCTCTCAAATACAACAACCACGAGCTCTTCTCCCACTTTAGGATGGCACACCCTCTCTGCATTCAACACTACTTCATTCCTGCTTTTTGGAGGTCAACCAGGACCGAATTCACAAACAGTCCTTACTTCCCTCAATGATTCTGCCACGCTTGTTTCCGCTTACGACCGCACGGACCCGTCATTTTTCATTGAGCCTCAGAACTGGGCTGGTGAACCAATGAGGAGGATCCGTCATTCAGCATCGTCAACTGGCGGCAAGATCTGGATTGTTGGCGGTGAGAAGGCCGATGGATCCGGAAATGCTTTCTCTGATCACTACCTCTTCAACCCTATTTTACAAGAGTTCGCGGAGCTTCCATCTGGTGGTAATGCACCGCCTGACATTTATGGGCATGCATCGCTCATTCTCCCCGACGGACGACTCCTTGTCTTGGGTGGATATTGTGCATCATGCGGGGGGCTTATACCCCTGAATACCATCTGGTCTCTTGACACAACACAAGCAACCCTCGCATGGGATACGATATCCCTGTCGAATTCCACCATACCAAATCCACGCCGCGACTTCGCAGCTGTTGTCCTCGCCACGGGAGAAATCCTAATTCATGGGGGTGGCGATGGCGAATTGCAGACAACCTATAGCGATGGGTGGATACTAAATACCACCCAAAATCCCATGGTCTGGGAAGAAGTGCAGTCTCTTCAGCAACTTGGCGCTCGCAAGGACCATCTAGCAGTACAGTGTAATGGTCAAGTGCTCTTTGCCTTTGGTGAGTCCCTCCCTGTTGGCTCTTTGTTCCTGTCTGATCCAACTCAGGCTACGGAACTTCTGCACCTGCGTCTGCCACTATGGAAATATACAATCCTTCTAGTTCGTCCATGGTCTCCTCTTACAGCCCGCCACCTGCGGGCTCGACCCCAGCCATCATTTCTCTCCCTGCACCTTCCCAAACTGGCCACTCTGGGTTGAGTGGGGGGAGTACAGGTGCATCCTCAGTGGTGTATCCAACGAGTACTGCCAGTGCTGGTTCCAGCTCTAGTAAAAATAACATAACCGCTGTCGCTCTAGGTACCACCTTCGGCATCATTGGGCTCATTGCTGGTGGACTCGCAACTGTTTGGTATGTCAAACGCTCGCGGGGACGTGGGAGGTTCCTCATTCTTGGTGGTGACCATGAGTACGACAGTACCGAAGGTGGTCCCGCTGATTTCTTGTCCATGGGTTCCGAGCGAAGGAGTTACGGATTCCTAGGTGCACGCGGCATCCCGCTGGCTGCAGTTCTCGCTCGTTTTAGGTTAAGCAAACATTGTTCCCCTCTGCCACATCGCCCGCGCCGTGACATGTTTACCGACGAAGATACGCGACAATTCGGGTGGGGCAGTCCTCCGGATATGTTACGCAGGGAAGGCAGTGGCGGGACTAGCTCATGGTCCATGCGCTCGATGGGCGCAATGGTGCGCGGCATGATTTCCAGGGAGTCCAGTGCAGGCAATAGCGGTCGAGGCTGGGATGATTGGGAAAAAATTGAAGGTGATCACGAGGGCCTGATGAATGAGGGAAATAACTCGTACAACGGGATACCCAACAGTGGACACTCTCATGAACGAGGTGGTAGCTCAGGGTCGTACATAGATCCATTCTCAGATCCTGTGCCACATGATGGAAAGTACGACTCGTATCAGCCAGATCATGGGGCACTCAAGCCTGATGGCGAGCATGACAACATTAATGTTGATGCTGGGAGCCGAGACTCGCCTCCCCTTCGCCCACTGAGGACCCATCTACCTTTCTCTGCACCCATTTCCACCCTCAGTCCTTTGCATGAGGTCGCGTCCGACTCAACCAACACCATAGCATCATTCCCCAGCCCGTCACAAGATAATTCGTCCTCCAACGGTAACTCTTCCAGCAACGCTTATGCCTCCCAACCAAGCTTTTCCTCGCAGCCGCCTTGTAGTCCTGTGACGGCCTCCACATTGCATTCCTCTGCTCCTACCATTGCACCCTCACGACGCCATTCGTCCATCCTCGACTCGTATTCACCTCCTTCGACCCCCATTCGTCGATCCGACAGCTGGTGGGGGCGATTTATGAAGACATCTCTACTTGATCGACAAAATTCTACCGGTCAGAAGTCATTAGATTTACGGGACCCTAACCCAGCTCCGCGACTCATGTCGATCAACGAATCGAATGCTTCCCGGGACTCTCTAGAGTCCGAACATGAGCAATCAATCAAGCATATTCGCCTGATCTCTCCATCTGTCTATAGTGGCCGGACAGCGAATACTGAGGTTGCAGAGCGGCTAGGTGGAAGCTATGATGTCGTACAGCGAATTGCTTCGGACGGATCTACGTCACATCGAACAGCTTCGATTGGTTCTATTAGTGCAAATGAGCACGGAATATTGGGTGGCTTATCATCCGATCAAAGCAGGCTTACCTCTTCCCGACCTATATCTCCGGCATCATGTCCCTCTTCTTCCTCAAAAGAGCCTTCGAGGACTGGACCCACTACACATGGTTCTCGGTTCACCAGGGCCGCAGGTCATGGTGTGACATCCAGGGTTCAGGAAATCGAACGGCAGATGACGAACAATCTGGTGGCGGCAGGTTCTACACCTCCGCGGAATACTCGCAAGCGAGAAGAAGTGCCTTCCCGTACCCGTCCAAGCATTCAGTATGGTCTAGCTCCACGAGCATCGTTGTATGTTGCCAACCCTGACAAGCAGTGTGCCTAACTTCTGCCCCTCTGTTAATCTCTGGAAGGAATTGTATTGCTTATCCTACTGCGGTTGTTTGAGTGGATGTAATACGATATACTATCTGACCCCACACGGTCGCCCAATGTGTATTTTATTTTATTTCAAATGCATATACTATGGTCCGGAAGGTAGCACGGTGGTTGGAGACCAGAAAAGGGAGTTGCTGTGCACCTTGACTATGACCTCAACTATCGGGGTAGTGTCCAACACTGTGCGTGTTGTCTTCTTGGCAAGTAGATCATTTGTGCGTGCCACGATCAAAGATGATGGCAGGGAAACGTCAGATGATTGATTACGATGTTCGTAATTTGTGATCGGTTCATATAGTCAAAGCCGATGGCGACGAGTACGCGAGTACTTTGAACAGCCAACTTGAAGTTCGGTAGTTGAACACGAGCCTGCCCCCGCACGCGGTCAGCGTCATGAGACCACAGGGACCGTTCCAGAACGATATACTGAATCCGAGTGCTTCCTAGCGACTATGAGAGAATTAATAGAGGGGATCTGCCCACGTCCTGTCATCTGTAAGATATCAAACCCCATGTTCCTGTGCTGAACGATGCCAACGTACAATCAATTATTAGACAACACGTCCTCACCGGTCGACTCGGTTATTGTTTGATTGTGGGGCAGGGCACGTCCGCCACGATGGTAGTGTTTGTCGCTGACAGTGACTACGCCCTGAGGATGGGGTGCCCCTGTCCCTGTAAAGCTTAGTGCACCTGTCAATGTGCTTGTCATGCGCCCCGACAAAGTGCTACGGCCGTTATAGTAAAACACGAGGCGATATTTGAATTAGTGTTCGTCAGTGCTAGGATGTTATGGCTGGAATCCGGTGACCGGTGCAGAAGGTTCAGGGTAGCCTACTATAGATGGAATTCCGCAAAGATAAGGGGAAAGCATGGCTTTTTAGCTGCCCATCCTAAAAGGGGCGCTTAAGTTCCGAGGAAGTTGATAAGCCAAGTCACAACCTTACTCGCTAGAGTTCAACGGCGCCGGATGGGGACAATGGTAGGTAGAGACCGGCGGGCACTTATGGGACCGCATAGCACTTCCCAAATAGCGATGGTGCCGTTATTTTATCTGGATCATATATACATATATATGTGACATCAATATCAGTGCTTTGATTTGTTGGTTTGAGCTTGATTGTGACTCATGTGGGTATAAGTGGGCCCATGTGCGAAGTTAGATCTAGGGTCACCGCCGTCGGGAGAGTACCTTCACACAGGGTAGTTCCGGCTCTTGGGGCATTATTGAGACATCTATCAGGGGCACGATTCCTTCTACGAAAAACATTTGAATGAATTGAACGAAGTCTTGAATTGAAGCGATTAGAGTGTAGGGACGCACAAATTCATAATTTAATCTTGGTAGTACAATCAGATACTGCGCCCCAACGCTACACTATATTTGTGGGTCCACGGTGGCAACTGTACTTACTAAAAATGAATACACTGCGCCAAGGCAAATGCAAGTGAAAGGAACGTGTCAACCGCTGTAGTACCGCGCGTCTCGCTGAGCCTTAAAAATGATTTTCTGAGTTCAACTTTACAACCTTCAAAAATCTTTGATCGCCAGGGCATAACGATGATCGCAGAGTACCTACGTTGTGTCTTCGCATCTACTACATGCGAAGAATTCGAAGCTCATTAATTCGATGCTGTTTGAACCTTGTTTCAATCCTGCGCTGTACTTCCAGTAAGTTTATCTCCGCAGCCAAGTGTGCCGGCAGGACGAGTGACTTTGCTCCACTTGATCTAGGCCGTGATGCGATGATAGGTATCCGGGTTTTCGTCATATCCGTTCGATCATATCTCGAATAAATTGAAAGGTTCTGCATTTAACTTCTGTGGCAGGTATGAAAAACGGGCGCCGAAACTTACCACAACAGACGCACAGCAAACCACCCAGGTCCTCGAACACCCCTTCATCATCATTTTATGTGGTGCACCTATCAGAAAGCGCTTCGCTTAGAACGTGCTGCTGACTTGGGCGTTCCATTCTCATTTGGGGATGCCTCATCATGCTCCTATACGTTCGGGTCAAGTTCCAGTCCGATTGCTTCTGAGCTGAATTACAATACACCAGTATGCTGCCACTATCCACGTGTCCCACAGCGAGCACATAGTTTATCCCTCCAGCTCTTTCAGGATGGGCTCATCAGGGTGCTTCTCCTTGAGGTACTGATGCCATCTTCAGACACAATATCACAGCCCAAAAAGTATCACGAACTTTGATAAGCTGCTTCACATAGTTCTCCTCCGCATTCGTCTTCGACATTCCCTTGATGCTGTGCCAAGCCTTCCTGCAAGACAGGTCAGGTCAACTTATCCAGCATCGTTTCCACTCACCATTTAGCACCCTCCACAAAAGCGAACATACTGGGTTCCTTGGTCGGATCTGCATCTCCCACAGTAGCTTTGATCGCCGAGAAAAGTCAGTTTGACTTTCTTCTACAGAGGAAGCACAGGAACCTTGCTTGTAGAATTTATAAAACTGTGGATGATCCGTATCGATCAGTATCGTTCATCTACGATCTTCAACAGAGTCATCACTCGCCTCCAACTTGACAGTAGCATCCGGCCCCGATGCCGTCTTGTCCAAACCTTGGACGTACGCCACAGCTTTTTCGAATTGAGAGGACATCGTCGTCAATGGTCAGAGATGAAGATGCTGGAACAAAAGGTGAAGACAAAACGCAGCTCTCTAGCAACAATTGCCAGATCTGGAACCGGCTGCATTTATCTTATCAGCTGACCACCGCGATATAATAAATCGCATTGTTTCAGAGCTCGCTTTGAACAAAAAATGAGGCCAATGCACTTGCAACTGCTGTTGTAGCAGACATGAAATTTGAATCGCTCTAGTCCTCAACAAAGTCATGTCTAGCCTATAAAATACTGCACATTTATGCATCAAGTACTCACTGCATCCACCTGTTAATCCTTTTTTCCTTTACAAAAGTCTCATTGGTCGACTGCGAGCACAGTCCGAGCCACGTCGTCGTTAGCATTGTGACTCTCTGTCACGAAAGCCTTGTTGTGACCTATTCGTCACGAAATCCCACACGCCGTCTCACTCCCACCCATGACGACTAGTAGTACTTCACGTTCAGCTCCACCGCCGTCACTACAAGAAGTACAAAGAAAATTGTCCGTTCACTCAACAGCTAGACCTAAGAAGGTTCGTGTGCATGTACCCCAATTCTCCTGATCTTGTCACATAATCCGGATCGATCTAAACCCTGCAGGCCCTTCCAGTGTCACAACCACACGTTTCTGGTACCGAGTCTGACTCAGACTCGGCTTTGTCACCCGATCTTGTCTCTCCAACATCACAGTCATATGGTTCTAACGCGGTCTCCGCCAGCACATCTCAGCCTCCACTATCCTCCATTGCAGAGGGAAAATCAGGAAGCGGTGAGGAGTCTGACGAAGACGAAGAGGAGGAGGAGGAAGGTGGTTGGAGAACCGCAACCAAGGCTGAAAACCCACAAAGTTCTTTCGACGAGAAGATGATCAAGTCGGGCTATCTATGGAAGAAAGGCGAGCGACGCAAGGTTCGTACATCGGAGACCGTCTTCTTCCTATTTGGTGTAGATAGCAATTATCACAGACTTGGAAAAAACGATGGTTCGTTCTTCGACCTGCACATATCGCTTATTACAAGACCAACGCGGAATACCAACTGTTACGCCTGCTGGATCTCTCCGACGTACATTCCTGCACCCCAGTCGCGCTCAAGAAACACTCCAATACGTTTGGTGTTGTCTCTACTGTTAGAACGTTCTATCTCCAGGCTGAAAGCCCAGTGGAAGTCCAGCGGTGGGTCCAGGCAATACAGGACGCGAGGGAGGCTCTCCTGACCATTTCAACTCAAACATCGCTACTAACACCCCCTATACCGATACCCGGGGCTCAATCAGCACCTTGTCGCATTATGGTCTCGAACTCGCCTCCGAAAGCATCCCACGCTCAAAATATAACCTCCTCGGACTCAGATGATGCCTCGCCAAGCGCACAGCGAACCTACTCGACGTCCTCGCAGAATCGCCTTGCAATTTCTTCCTCACCCACGCGAATGCAAGCTATACCAAAAGAAGCCGCAAAGATAGTCTTATCTGGATATTTGATGAAATGCGGTTCGAAACGACATAATTGGCGCAAACGGTGGTTCATGTTGAACGGTGAAAAATTAGTCTACTCGGGAAGTCACATGGTAATGGGTATTCTTGTACTTGCCATGTCTGATTTATTGCTGACACGGGACCAATTGAATATGGCTATCAGGACACAAAACCCCATCGGCAGTTTTCATTTTCTGAGATTCTCGATGCCCTGGAGTTCGATATGCGGGGTCACAAGCACAGTGCACCCATTCCTCCTCCTTCCACTTCGCCACTATCATCAACAGTACCCGATGACTCGCACGGCCACTTTACGTTCAAGATAGTCACTACGAAAAGGACGCTACTGTTATGTGCTCCAAGCGAGGAAGAAGAAATTAAATGGCTTAGTGCCATTCGTGCTCTTATAGCTCGACGATCAGGCGCCGGTGTCGTGCCAGGAGATCTGGGTGGAAATGTCGGCAGCGCTTCGAAGCAGCCGGCTTCTGGTACAGACACCAATCAGGGCTCTGGGGGAGGATCTGCATCGAGTAGCGGGTTGAGACACAAGGTCAGGAACTTGAGTATAAGCGGACCGAGTGGCATTGCCGCAGCGCCCATTTCGGAGGACTAGAACAAAGTACAAACAACGCAAGATAACGGCATCCTTCCAAGTCACCTCAGTTGTCCTTCAGTAACACTCTCACGTCATTATTTTTCCAATCATGCTTCCCCGGGTGTATTTGAACTCGACTGTCATCATTCATTGCCTCACGGGCATCAGTTCTATTCCTCTTCTAGTGATATCTATGTCTCAGTCTGGTGTTCTGCAGTTTATGTAGACGACCCTCTGTTCGCTTGTGCTACAATGGTTGGACGTATAGGCCCTGACACTAGGGCAGATTCGATTGCGATTTCATATATAATATACAATACTAGTTTGATAATCAGAAAGCGACAAGCGCGGATGATTTGACAAGCAAATCCATTTTGAGTGTTATTGTTGGTCCATGGGGTCTCCCGACGGTATTCAAAGTGAGAACCGGAGAGGGTCGGTCTGGTTCAGTCTTCTCCGGCTCTCTGATGGAAATCACTACGATTGTTGCGAGGGATCATGAGGCAGGTCAGCACATGTTTTCCCGAGTAGGTATGGTTGGGTTTACACTGCCCCTTGGTTCTGCTGTGTTACTTGGAGGAAGAGGACCACGAGTTATGTGGCAGGAGGGAACATGCTGTACTACTTGTGACAAAGTGTCCAAAGGTTCGAAGGGGGGATACACAAGCGTACATTGTCGTACACAAGCCGTACACTGATCATGGAATGATGATCAGCTAGCGCCTTGATTTGGAAGGCCGCGATGCAAGAGTGCCGTTTAACGCGCGGAAGCAAAAGCGCCCCTTGCCAAGTTCTCATGGTATGGGGGTGCATGTTTGGTAAGGAAAGACCCCGAAACTACCTTCTGTTGAACTTATATTAATAGATTTACTATTTCCCTTTTTTGGTTATTTTATTCGTTTGTCGTTGCCCGTTCTCGTCGAACGTTATGCTGCTACTTATACTCTCGTACATAGAATGCGTCGTCCTGTGTCGCTTCCTCTTGTTTCTTTCTATCTCATTGTACATCATTTCTCTCCCTGTATCTTTGTTACCCCACACTCTCCCCTTATACCTTCATCTTCATAATCATCATGCCCCCCACACCAAAGTCTCCTACTCAGGCTAGACGGACCGGAGCGCCCAAGGCTAAAGGCGCTGTGCGCGCCAAGTCGGGCTGTTACACGTGCAGAATCCGTCGGAAGGTAGGTCTTTGCACGTCACTCCTTCGATCTTCGATCGTCGCTTCTTTGTCATCAGGCGCTCATTCACCCCCCCTCCCCCTTCCTAGAAATGCGACGAGCAGCCCAACGACGACGGCAGCTGCCAAACATGTCTTCGTCTTCGTCTACAATGTCTTGGTTTTGGCGCAAAGCGTCCAGAATGGTTGCGGGTATGTTATTTTATTTAAATCATTCCCTTATCATTTTGATGTTTTTTTCTTCTTTTCCTCAAGGCAAGCGACAAAGTCGTCGACCTACGAGAAAAAATTAAAAACTTTCTTGCCGCACAAGGAATGATTAAAGGGCATTCTGGTGCTGGGCCTCGTCCCAACGACCAGGAGCCTTCTATTCTATCACTTTCGGCGGACTATGCTTCTCCAAGCACGAGTCCGCAGACACCCACATTGTCGATCTCCAGCGACGAGCGACACCCGGGTATAGCCCGTAATGATTATCTTCGGGGGGACACTGATGCTCGTAAGACTCCTATCGTGGAATACCCTTGCTCGTTTTCTCATATCGTCGTAGGACTTCCCGTGATGCAGGACATTGATTCACCATTGGACGCTCGGGAAAATTATCCTGGGGTTATGCTGCCTGCGTATCCTTCCACTACTTATACGACTAGCTTAGATCCATCATGTAAGACCCCGTATCGTTACTAAGTATATGTATGTATCATAGTACTCAAGCCCTCCTTTTGGCAGGGACGCAATCAATCCTGCCTCGACCGCACACCAGCGACTTCTCTGCAACGTACCATGCATACTTCCCGGACGAAGACGAGAATAACGTCGTCATTCCCTCTGGATATCTCTTGCCCCAGCCGGTTAACACCATCCAACACAACTGGTTTAACCTGAACATGCAACAAAACGCATCATTGCAACACTATATGCACCATGTTCTGCGTATCCAATATTTGCATGCCGACGGATCGATTGATAAACTCATATGGAATCTGATACATTCCAGTGATTCAGCCCGAGAGGCTGCATGTTTGCTTGCGGATTTGCACCGCAAGAGCACCCAAGGTGCAATTGGTTTTACTGCGCCAACAGACCATGATGTGTACGCACGCATCCAAAGTGCACCAGTGACAGAAGGAGACGCTCTTGCAAGTCTTTGCATGGTTTCCTATTTCCTCTTCTCTGGGGGGCAAGGGCAGTGGCAAGCGTTCCTCGACAGCGCTTGCGAATTTTCGATCAAATTTCTCCAGCGGAAACATCATGCACCAGACTGGGCGCTGAGCTTATGCAGTGACAGCATGCGGTTTATCATCAAGACGTCCATGTGGTTCGATGTCCTTGCTTCTGCCACGCTGATCCGTCGTCCCAAGTTCCTTGACGTGCTCCGTTCGCTCTATGACCCCACCACTGCCGTTGATGATGGCGGACCGGAGCTTTCCATGATGGGGGTCATGGGATGCGAAAACCGCATCGTCCTCGCCCTCGCTGAAATCGCTGATCTCGCATGCTGGAAGGATGAATGCAGGCGTGCTGGGAGACTCAGCGTTCCCGAACTCGTCAGACGGGGGCAAAATATCGAAGGCATTTTGAAGACCACCAATGACCCTGACCACCTCCAGGGCTTTGAATCGGAGAAGTTACGCCGACGGCGCCTCACATCTGACGTATTCCGCGCGTCCGCGCTTGTTTATCTCCACTCCGTTATCTCTGGGGATCATCCACAATGCCCAGAGATTATGAGCAACATCGCAGAAACAGTCAATTGTCTCAGGCGTGCTGAAGATGTCAGCACGGCACGGCATGTTGTGCGCAGCGTCGTGTTCAGCATCTGTATATGTGGCTGCTTGACGGATGTCCCTCAATATCGCGATTACTTCCTACGACGCCTGCAGGAGCAGCAGACGGAGACAGTGGGGAACTGTGCTCGGGTCGCTGAACTTATGAGACAAGTGTGGAGGAGCCGAGAACGAGGGGAGCCCGTGGACTGGCGTGTTGTTATGCAACAATCCCAGATGCTTCTTGTCTAAAGGATACCCTACGACACATGAACTTTTTTTCCCTTCATTGCTCTATGCATAATCTGTTAAAAGTATTTGGGCGCCCCCCTGGTGTGCAGCGCGCCGGATTATTTCCTCAGGATCTTCATTTTCATACCACACAAGCTGTATATCACACTACATGCCTCGACGAACTTGCATCTGTGACCCATACTACACACGACATACAAATGCTATGTATTTTTTTTCTAGACATAATATCTCCACAGCCTCGAGGGGCACCGCATGTCTCCTATCATGGATCTATAGCTACCGCTTGGGTGCACTGCCGCTGGTTCCGGGTGAGCCGAATTAATTTTCTTATCATACCTTCCTCATCTGCATATATATGCATTACTCTATGTAGTTTCAAATTGCTCTCTAACTGAAATTCGGTCATAACGTTCTCGAGCTGACAGTCTTCTGCGAACTATCCGGAACATATTCAGGATGCTGTATTAGAGATCCCCTGGCTGCGGTATGAACCTAATCAAAGAGCGCAGTGGCGGGTCTCCTTTAAGCCATCAGCCTTGAATTACAGCTTGACTATGTAAGAAAAAAATTCATTCAGAAGTGGTTGCCCTGAATATTAATCAATCTAGGACCGTAGGCTCCCGGCCCGTTACATAAACACTGGCAGCGACACCAAAACGTCGCAGCAACACCGACCCTCCTTGATATGTAACAGTATCCAGGACCCTGGCAGTATCTATCCATAAATTGATTCGGCGACGTCCTATAGTACTACCCGCATGTACGAACCAATCACCAGTTGGCATTTGTCGTGATCGCCTTCCACGGTCATGCTCCAAATAGGTTCGCCCTGAGAGTATTATTGCCATTGTTTGCAGATAGAATATCATATCAAACTCGAGCTTCCTTGATAAATGTCACGGTCTGCGGTCACCGTGACGCGATAGGTGCCGAGCATTTGGACCGAGTACTTCTCCCAAGATGAAGCACATTTTCTTGTAAGTTATCATTTCAACGTCGGCGGTTTCGAAGCTTAAATGTTAATTAGAGAATGTTCCATCCTGATGGCGCGTTTTTCACATTGGTTGAGTTTAATATTCATATTTGACATTCAACTGTAGAGCGGTTCTTGATCCTAGTCAGGCCTGGGAATACACTCCGTGGGTCACTCTCGACAGCGTACGACGGAATAAGATGTCGCGCAAGTTGGCATCTGGCATCAAAATCATTATGCCCGTTCGGCCCTAAGGTCTTACGGTTAAACTGACGTTTGTTTACATTTAAAATTCGGTTTGCAACATAACTCAATTTCTAGTTATCCAATTATGTCAACTCACCCCGGCCTCGTTTCCTCCGGGCTGCAACCAGACGATAGCCTACTTGTCCCCTGCCTGCAATGCGTTCAGGTTACAGCCCTCGCATGACTTACACAGGCCTCAGAACAGCTAGGTCACAGCTTGGGGATTCTTCGAAAATTCCATTCTCAAGTTTTCCTTATACAAAGCACGGCGTCAGGCCGCGAACCGAGCCGGGACCGGCCTGCTTCGACTGAGTGCAACAGGGCACCCATAGCAGGGTTCAGCGCTCAGAAATTATAAGCCGGTTATCGTGTAAGGCCGCATCATTACCGGGTATATATAACACCCTAATCCTCCTTTGGCAGGACTCCAATCAAACGCACTATGCTGCCCCGACCCCACACCAGCGAATTATCTCCAATGTACAATGCACACTGGTCAGACGACGACGAAAACTACACCGTCATACCCGCAGGATATCGCTTGCCCGCCTCCGTTAGCCCCATTCATCAGAACTGGATCGACCTAAACACCTACCAAAACTTATTGCATTATTATATGAAACACGTTCTTCCTATTCAGTTCTCTCATGCGGACGGGTCTGTTGACGCCATCGTCTGGAATCTCATACATTCCAGCCATGCAGCCCGAGAGGCTGTTTGCTTATTTGCGGATTTGCACCGCAGGAGTACCCAAGGCGGTCCGATTGGTTACAGTGCGCCAGAAGACCGCGATGTGCACAGACGCATCCAAAGGGCCATAGAACCAGTCACGGAAGGAGATGCTTTTGCAAGTCTTTGCATGATCTCTTACTGCCTCTTCTCTGGCGGCCAAGGGCAATGGCAGGCATTCCTCGACAGTGCTTGCCGATTTTCCCTTGCCTCCCTCAAGCAAAACCCCTCTTCGTCAGCCAGTGCACTAATATCCTGCACCGACAGTATGCGGTTTATTATCAAGACGTCCATGTGGTATGATGTCCTCGCCTCTGTAACTTTGATCCGTCGTCCCATGTTTGAAGTACTCCGGATTCTCTCTGATCCGTCTGGCACTGCCCTCCTTGATGGCAGACCGGAGCTTTCAATGATAAATGTTATGGGATGCGAAACCCGCGACATCGTCGCCCTTGCTGAAATTGCTGATCTTGCATGCTGGAAGGAGGAAGTCAGGTGCACTGGTAGCCTCAGCGTTCCTGAACTCGTCAGACGCGGGCAACTTATCGAAACCGTGCTGAAGACTATCAACGACGATGATCACCCCCACCCTGCTGAAACAGAAAAATCTCGCTTACGACGTCTCACCTCCGCTGTATTCCGCATGTCTGCCCTTGTTTATCTCCATTCCGTTTTATCCGGGGACTACCCGCTATGTCCAGAGATCATGGACAACGTCACAGAAACAGTCATGTGTCTCAGGCATGCTGAAGATGTCAGCGCTGGCATAGCGCGCCATGTCCTGCACAGTATGATATTCAACATATGCGTCTGCGGCTGCCTGACGGATGACCCTCAATTCCGCGATTATTTCCTGCAGCTTCTGCAGGTGCAGCAGACGCAGACAACGGGGAACTGCGCTCTTATCTGTGATCTCGTGAGACGAGTTTGGGCGAGCCGAGAAGGAGGGATGCCTGTGGACTGGCGCGTTGTCATGCGAGACATGCTTCTTGTCTAAAATGCCATCTTACGACATATGGTCTTTTCGTTACCTCTCTTCGTTATTTGCTAATTATAAAGGTGTTCGGCACGCCCCTAGTCCTGTGCTGCATGTAGCGCGTCAATTTTTTTCCCGGAGGTTTTTTATTTTCATACTCTACATATTGTAATTCATACCCCACGAATAATTTACTGATCTATCTAATGATATTTATGTATAGCTAGGATGGTGTTTCATTGGAAGAGGCGGAAGTTAATTCTAAACAAGTATTACTAATACAAGTCCTTGAACTCAGAGACAACTCAGAGGTTACCCCGAGCCATGAGGCTGGCTCAGCGATACCAAACACTTTGTCGTAGACAATCTTCGTTCTTTACAGCAGCTTGCGGAAGCACCAAATGTCCCAAAAAAGAAAACGGCAACTTCCGGCAACTGTTTCGTTTTTGACGATTGGCAATTTGACTCAGTATTCAGCGAACGGCTGTAATAGACCACCTGAGATCTTTCTTGCTCTATTCTGGTGCCTACGGAACGGCGTTCACAGAACAGAGTTTCCTTTTCGACCACAATCGTCGGACTGAGTTGACTACGATTGGATCATGTCCAGTTCGTTCTATATTTATGCCTTCGGTCACGAGTGTATGATGCCGAAAGTACCAGGATACCTGGCAATGGGCATAGTTCATTTATCGTGTAATCCTGTATTGATCAAGAACCTCGAGGTTTCAACGTTCAACGTCCCAGCCCTCATGCACATGCACCACCCTTCCCATTGATAACAGTGACACGACCACCACTAACCACAACGGCCGGTTTAGTCATGCAACAGGAGATGGACACACAACCAGACTCTGGTCGTGCTTCCCCTTCAGATACGGTTTCTTTTTCCAGTACAACCAACTTTGGTACACAGCATCGTCCCCGTTCTCCCCGTTCGACGGCGCAACATCGTCAACACCCATACATCATACCAGGAGGGAAATCATCAACCCAAAGGCTTCGCACAATCCATGAAGATTCAAGTTTTAGAACGGATGCTGGAGTTGGTGGTCCTTCGACAGCAGATCAGCAAAGATTTACTAGTACTCTCAAACCATCCTCACTTACTACTCCCAATGTCGCTCCCTCCGCTCAGCTGATCACTTCAATCCTCGTCCCAGACTTGACTAGTCTTATCGTCCGACGCAGCCTGCACCCGATTTCCTGCGGCGCATATGGAGATGTTTACCAGTGTACATACCGCGGACCAGAGGGCGATGTAGAGGTTCGAGCGAATGCTACAGTTCCTCCACTCTCACTAACTTAACACTCGCCTGCAGGTTGCCGTTAAAGTAATGCGGCCAGGATGCGTTGATGTTGAGGTAATGTTCTATCTGAGGGAATGGTCATATTCTCATGAAGCTTTCTTAGATGTTTCGCAGGGAGCTTGGAATTTGGAAGAGGTTACGGCATTCTAATATTTTAAAATTCATGGGTACAGCTTCAGACTTTGGTCCCTCAGAAGCTTTGGTTGCTCCGTGGATGACCAACGGCACTCTGACGTTCTTTCTACGCCAGAACAACAAGACCATCAAGCTGCATGATCGTCTACTTTTGGTAAGCACCCCAAATATGTTCCCAGTTTACACGGGTAACTTCATTGTTTTGTGCATAAGCTTCGTGACATTGCTGCTGGGCTCAATTATCGTGGGTGAACACGTGCATGTTCAAAGGAAAATCAATAATGTTTTACGTCAGTTCATACGTTTAGTTTGGCAGAAGGCACACATACGGACTTGAACCCCGTCGTTCATGGAGATCTCACTGGTGTAAGGGCCACTATTTATTCTATCCCTCGCATATTAATGTTCGGTTGCAAGACCAATGTCCTCATCGATAGTAATAGAAAGGCGTATCTCGCAGATTTTGGCCTTTCCGGAACTTATAACAAGTTGGCCGGCATGACATACCTAGCGAAGATGAGCTGTCGTCCAGGAGCAGTGAGATGGACAGCTCCTGAACTTCTCTTTGAAGAAGAACCAGCTTCTGCAGCCAGTGATATGTACTCCTTTGGTAGCATCATGCTCCAAGTTAGTGGTGGTCCTCTTGCTAGTGCAACTTACTAACTCGTCCTGCAGGTTTTAACGGGAGATATCCCTTGGTGTGACGTACCAAAAGAGACCATAGTCTTGCGGAAGGTGATTGAAAGGGAAATACATCCTCGTCCGGATAAATATTTTGTCACTGGCCAGCAATGGGATTTCATGACCCGTTGCTGGTCTACTACACCCATCGATCGTCCTCCTGCTGAGGAAGCAGTTCAATTTGTGGATAGCGCTTTGTGCACGAACACGATTTCCCAGACCCCGAGTTTGTCAATCTCTATCGCCGCTTCTCCATTAATTCTGACAGACTATACTTCCTCGAGCACGAGTCTGCAGGCCCCCACCTCGTCGATCTCTAGCGACGAGCAACACCCGGGTAGAGCCCGTAATGATTATCTTCGGGGGGACACTGATGCTCGTAAGACTCCTATCGTGGAATACCCTTGCTCGTTTTCTCATATCGTCGTAGGACTTCCCGTGATGCAGGACATTGATTCACCATTGGACGCTCGGGAAAATTATCCTGGGGTTATGCTGCCTGCGTATCCTTCCACTACTTATACGATGAGCTTTGATCCATCATGTAAGATCCCATATCGTTATCATGCGTATCATAGTCCTCAAACCCTCTTTTTCAGGGACGCAATCAATCCTGCCTCGACCGCACACCAGCGACTTCTCTGCAACGTACCATGCATACTTCCCGGACGAAGACGAGAATAACGTCGTCATTCCCTCTGGATATCTCTTGCCCCAGCCGGTTAACACCATCCAACACAACTGGTTTAACCTGAACATGCAACAAAACGCATCATTGCAACACTATATGCACCATGTTCTGCGTATCCAATATTTGCATGCCGACGGATCGATTGATAAACTCATATGGAATCTGATACATTCCAGTGATTCAGCCCGAGAGGCTGCATGTTTGCTTGCGGATTTGCACCGCAAGAGCACCCAAGGTGCAATTGGTTTTACTGCGCCAACAGACCATGATGTGTACGCACGCATACGAAGTGTACCAGTGATACCAGTGACGGAAGGAGACGCTTTTGCAAGCCTTTGCATGGTTTCTTATTTCCTCTTCTCTAGGGGACAAGGGCAGTGGCAAGCGTTCCTCGACAGCGCTTGCAAATTTTCGATCAAATTTCTCCAGCGGAAACATCATGCACCAGACTGGGCGCTGAGCTTATGCACTGATAGCATGCGGTTTATCATCAAGACGTCCATGTGGTTCGATGTCCTCGCTTCTGCAACGCTGATCCGTCGTCCCAAGTTCCTTGACGTGCTCCGTTCGCTCTATGACCCCGCCGCTGCCGTTGATGGTGGGAGACCGGAGCTTTCCATGATGGGGGTCATGGGATGCGAGAACCGCATCGTCCTCGCCCTCGCTGAAATCGCTGATCTCGCATGCTGGAAGGATGAATGCAGGCGTGCTGGAAGACTCAGCATTCCTGAACTTATCAGACGCGGGCAACATATCGAAGCCATCCTCCAGACTACTAATGATCCTGACTACCTCCAGGGCTTTGAATCGGAGAGGTTACGCCGACGGCGCCTCACATCTGACGTATTCCGCGCGTCCGCGCTTGTTTATCTCCACTCCGTCATCTCTGGGGATCACCCACAATGTCCAGAGATCATGAACAACATTGCAGAAACAGTCAAGTGTCTGAGGCGTGCTGAAGACGTCAGCACAGCACGCCATGTTGTGCGCAGCGTGGTGTTCAGCATATGCATATGTGGCTGCTTGACGGATGTCCCTCAATATCGCGAGTACTTCCTGCGACGCCTGCACGAGCAGCAGACGGAGACAGTGGGGAACTGTACTCGGGTCGCTGCACTTATGAGAGAAGTGTGGAGCAGGCGAGAGCGAGGGGAGCCCGTGGACTGGCGTGTTGTCATGCAGCAGTCCCAGATGCTTCTTGTGTAAAGGCTATTCCACGACACATGGGCTTTTACTTCCTGGCGCTTCGTTATCTGCTAAAGTGTTCGGCACGCCCCTAGTGTGTAGGTCGGTTGTTTATTTCCCGAGGCTCCCCGTTCTTATACCCTACAAGCAGTAATTTATTTACGCCTGGTGAACAAATCGCGTCTGCGCTTGCACGACTTCCGAATGCTATGCGTTATTTTCTAGACACCCATCTCCACGGCCTTATCAATATTCAATGCACCGTCGGTATGTTTCTGATGGACCATCTCAGCACTGCCGCTGGCATCTTACTCATTACGACACCATTCTCAGATCTGCACATGCACGTGCGGTTTGAAACTTGTTCTCGATTCGGTCATTAGCTTCGGGACCATCCTGGCTTTAGTACTACCGTACCACGCACATGTTGCGTCAGACTGGTCAGTCATGGCGTTTCAAAGCTGATCCCACACTAGTTATTCACGATGAGCGAACTCCACGGAAGATGATGTATGATATTTCCTGTAGAGATCACCAGGCGTATTGTGCAAGACATGGTGATACAGCCTTGGCACTGCCACTGAAATGTGATTGAGCAACTTTAATTAACGAACGACGTCAAGAGAATCGATCGAGGAGTGCACAGGAAGAAGCGACTAGTGGTTGCAGCGACCGAGGTGTACTCAAACGTCGCAACGACGGGCACTGCGATGTTCCGTGATGATGGTATCCAAGAGGTGTCTTGCCATGCGGAAACATCCTTCGGGCACGTCCCGGTGACTATCAAGTACCGACATGGGGGGATGGGTCGGAGATTCAGCGGAAGTTTCCTTTTGTAAGAATGTGTAAATCTGTTGAGTGTGCCTTGACAGGCCTGGGCCACGCTTTTGAATGAACGTTCTACTCGCGGAAGCTTGAGTGATCGTGTTTAATTTCATGAAACCCCCATAATTCACGACATAATCGGATCAAATATACCTCGAGGGCGACATGCAGGGACATTTCGCATTATCTAATAAACCGTAAACAATACAATTTCAAGGCACAGGTACCCCGGAGTTCTCTCGGGACTCGGTAAAGATAGAATCGTTGACTGCGGTTACACGTACACTTTTTGAGTTCATCCATCGAAATCGGAAATTATATAAGCAAAAGTGCTTGGTGTTATTTCACCCCTTGATAGAAGAAACTTCAAAAATGTTTTCTTCATGTTTTGAGACGGAGGATGTGTGTGGTGACCCCTCCCTCATCGCTTCATGTTGTTCACCGATGCCCCCCAACCGACACTGGATCCCATAGCCCTTGCGGAGTTAATTACTTGGAGACCAATTCATGAATGAATCCAAATTAGTTTTGGATTACACTTCTACATACTTCTTTAGGCCATAAACATCGCCGTCTTTTCGTTTGCGACAGAACCAAACATCACGCCGTCTTTTCTTGTGCGACTGAACCAAAGTGTCCATCACCCCATCGGTATTTCCTGTAGGTGGCTGTAATCTCCTCTTAAAACATCTTCTTCAGTCAAAATTATATTGCTTCATCATTACAACCCCCAATCGTGGCGTGAATGTCAAACCCATACCGTAGTTCGTCAGCCAGCGGTAGTTCATCGCCCCCGTCTGAGACGCCTTCAAACAATACTTCTCCTGCCAACATCTCCGCCCCCCTCTGGCCATCTAAATCCTCGGATGAAGCAGATTCCCATAGTACACATTCACGAGAAACTCCAAACAGAATGCCAGTAGATTTACCTCGTGCAAGCTTGACAGGGAGGGGGGGATGCTGGTGCGCATCACTTCTTCCAAGACCGTTCCACTTACTAACACATCCATTCCAATTTCCAATCGTAGGACATGTCGCCTCCGAAGAAAGGTGCGTCTCGACTCGAATAAGCCCCCCTTCATGCGTCTTGACCATGCGTCTTATAATAGAAATGCGACGAACAACGAGAGGGCAACTCCTGTCATACCTGTAAACGATTGAGAATAGATTGTCTTGGGTGGGGATCAAGACGCCCAGAGTGGATGCGCGTGAGTACAGTTCCTGTCCCTCTTGCCACCGTCCCTTATCGTCCTACAGGACAAGAAAGCCGTCGAAGATTATAAGGCTGGCATCAAAGCTCAGCTAACACGGGCTGGCCTCATCCGTGGTCAGCCAAAATCCTCGATATTGCAAGCCAGTTCAGCAGGTCCATCATCTACACCAGCTTCTTCATCCTCCGTGTTCCCTTCGCGGCAGTTCCAACCATCTGCAAGTTCTTCGGGGTCTTCTCGAGTCAACGATTTGGGAATGCCAGCGTATGTCGATTCATTGAGCGACCCAACCGGAATGTCCGTCTTTGGTGCGTTTTTTGTCATAAGAGAGATAAATCTATGGCGACTGACACCCCATCCTCAGGTTCAACGTTGAACTCACCTCAGATCATTTCTGTCCCTCTGTACACGAGGGATGGGAGCTTTCAGCGTTCAAACCACAATTCCCCCTTCAGCCCTTCCGGCTCTCTTCCCTCAGACACATCGCCCGTGGCAGAATTGCACTTTAGTCCTGACTTCGACACCGCCACCCAAGACCTGTATAACTCTCCAATGTCATCGATACCAGACGATGGCTTGCAAATGGAGCACATTTTTTATTACTTCGAGCATGTTCGGCAGTTGCAGTATGCGTTTGCTGGCAATTCTGTAGCAAATACAACATATTCAGTAAGATTTTGATTTTCTCTAAAGCAATTGATACTTCGTTGCTAACCATTATTTAGCTTGTATTGAAACACCCACAGGGCTCGGTGGCAAACGCTATTTCCGCATTGGCATCATTGCACTTCAGTTTAATTCGTATCGCCCACGGTTTCGAGGCGCCAAACCCCACCCTGGAGCACTCACCGGCAATCCGATTCTATGATAGTGCCCACCAACAACTCTATAGAAACAAGCAAACAACGCTAAGCGAGTCCGATGCGAATGCAGCCATCCACATGTTGAGCTTCTCGCTCATGTCAGGTGGAGTAACAGATTGGCGCACGATGTTGGATATTGCGAGCGAATGGCTTGCAAGGACGGGGATAACAACGAGCGACAACCCCAAGTTGATGATGATAAACATGAATGAGGCATCGCGACTGGCACTGAAAGCCACGATGGTGGGTTTTACAGCGACTATGCGTAGACTAAGCTCACCTGAAGCTCGCAGTGGTGTGATATTATGTCAACCCTAACCCTGAAAACGACGCCAAAGCATCTATCCTTCTACCGGCGACTGTTCCGCGGAGGATCGGGTTACTGGGGTTTAACGCAGCAGGGCATCGACGAGTCAGCCCTTCGTATGGATAGCTTAACTGGTTGTCCAGACGAAGTACTTCTTGGTATCGCGGAGATAGCAACTTTATCATGCTGGAAGATGCAAGAACTTCGTAAAGGTTCTTTGAGCATGAGAGAGCTCATTCGGCGAGGGGACGTTATCGAGCGACACCTTCGTACCCAAACAGAGACGATGCTATCGACAGAAGCGGACCAAACGCCATTACATCCTGATCTATTGTCAATGACTGTTGAGCATGGCAATGCACAAAATTCACCTACTGGACACGCAAGCACATCCCTTCCTGCGGATGACACTCGGAGGATAGTAGCTGATATCTTCCGAGAAGCAACCATCCTCTACCTACATACAGTGCTCAGTGAACCTAATCCAGGTGCGTCGAAATTGATACGTGATTTTGCAATGTTCGTGACTTTGCCACAGGAGTGCCCGAGATCGTGAATTCGATAGATGTCATTGTACAATTATTGAACCGGCTGCCCGTGTCAAATATCGACCGCTGCCTAGTGTTCCCCATATGTCTGGCTGGGTGCCTCGTGGACGATCCCATGAAGCGCGAGTTTCTGAAAACACGGTTGCAAGGCCAACACAATGGATTTGGCAACATCAATCAGGCTCTGCGAGTCATGCAAACTGCATGGCAAAAACGGGATAGTCAAGGAGGAACAGTCCAATGGCAAGACCTGCTCCATATCCAAGGGCGCCAGTCGGTCCTACTAGTTTAAGTTCTGACGGTTTTTCAGTCTGTATACCATACACACCTAGTTATTTTTAAAGCCATTGCATCGGTCGTACGATACCATCCTACAGTACTTGGATTAACAAAATGTAGAACTTTGAATTTGAGGAATATTAATTTGACTCACATTTCAACGTGCTGTCTCTAAGGAGAATGATGTCCTGATGACTAGCAGGACGAATTTGAAGGAAAAGGAGTACTCGCTGGGCCGCTAGGACGAGATGTGTGCGTGCAAGCAGTCTGTGCACAAAGGGAGAGTTAGTTCACGTCGAGAACAAAGAGTGAAAGCTATATACCGAACGACCGGAAATTGGTATTTCCTATGTGAGGCATGGGCGCGCACCTACAAGGACCAATAATATGGTAAAAACTTGCCGCATCAGTCTGCTTAAAGAATGTATGCAGTGAAAATTGATGGCATGACACATGTGGGAGCAACGTGAGGAGGCTCGAGCGCCGGCGGTCATGAAGGGCGCTGAAGGCCTGATGCCATCACTGCCTGACGTTCCTAACGGGACCGTCCAAAAAACTTCATAGCATGGGCGTCGGCAGGACCCCGGCTGCTCCCTATACCGCATGTCCGCAAATTTTCTAAATTTTGAGGCTTGTGGGGCGCACTTTGGACATGCTAGGTACCAAAAAAGGAAACTTTTTGCAAAAATTTCGTGCTGCTAGGTATCATAGCCCCGTGACGGTTCTGCTTTTTGCGAGGCAACTGTGATGCAATAATCTCGCACTTTCACCGTACCAGCTGTTTCCCATCTATAGTTTTGTAGAATAAAAACTTGTTGTTCAAAAGCCCACAGTTTTAGAGTGTGATACTGGCCGTCTGAGACTCAGACGCTGAGCATGGATGTTCCAGACGACTCTGACGAGTTCCCACTGAGTGTCCAGTGGACTTTCTGTAGTGCCAAAATGAGTTTTCATTTTCTTCAGGGTGCGTCTTAGAAGTTCAGGAAATAAAATCAGTACAAGTAAGCAAAAAGACATAGTCTAAATTGGTCTACATGGTGGATCACGGACTGTAGTCAACTTGAAGCGGTGCTTGTTTAGGGAAACCAAATGTCAGTTGGAGGTTTGTCGTCAGTCTAGGCAGGTCTCTCTTGGGGCGCTACCGATGGACATAGGGTGGGTCCCACAGGCGTGTGGGGCGCACTATTTAGAACCATAGGATGGGTCATTTTGAGGGCATGTGCGGCGCTACCGGTGGACATGCAGTATAGGGAGCAGCCGGGGTCCTGCGTCGGCGCTTAAAGTCAAAAGTCAAGCCAAATAGCATAAAATAAATGCACGTGACAGTCGCGTCCAAAAAGACGAACCGTGTGCTTGTCACAGCACAGCCACAACAAACCTTTTACTTTTGATTTCTACATTGACGACCACGATTACGACACACACACACACACCAAAGCATCTGCGGTCATGTTCAAGGCAATTTTACCTTCGTCGAAAAGAATATCTTCTTCAGAGTTCACTATGGTCACGAGCCCTGGAGATCCACTCAGCGGAAAGGAGAATCTACCTGACAATCATGTTATCACTCCTGCACAAACGAAATCAGGCAAGGGAACTCACAAGGGTAATTCGAAGCAAGAAAAGATGAAGACAGTAAAGGTTTCGCAGGACCTTGTGGTCGAGCCGGTGGTAATGAACCAAGCCTTCGACAAATTACTGGTAGGAGTGTACAGTGATGACATCAATCGACGATATCTAATAGTACATGCGCACAGGACGAGCTACAAATTCCCTCTACCGTTCGGGTAAAGCTAGCTGGCATGGATGCGACCGTTAAAGCGGCTATGCTCAAATCATCACACGTTATAACATCAAACCCCACGTCTGGGCCACCGAGCACCCCAATGACACTGAGAAAAGCCCGCAGTAGCGAATCTGTGGGCTCACCTCTTCCGCCTTCTATGAGTTATGACCAGATGCCTACGAAAGGCAGTTGGATATCTGGTCTCTCTGGAAAGAGTACGACGGATCTGCACGCTCTCGATGACAGGCAAGGACATGACCGTGGGTTATCGGTTGATGGTACACGGACATTCTCTCAGGGTCAGAACTCCCCGGTTATCTCAGGCGACCTCATTACGAGCAAATCCAAAGAGAAGGGCTTCGTGAAGAACATAACTCCCGTCAAATTATGTAGTATCTTGGCATCAACTTCCAGCACTCAGCTAGAAGTAGAAGTCGTCAAGAAACTCCGATTATTCCTACGGAATGAGTCCGCAATGTGAGTGCTGAGCGATTTGAAGCTCTTGTGCCATGTTAGCTGATTGAACTTTGATCAGTTGGTCGGAAGACTTCCTGAAATTGGGTGGTTACAATGCTATGCTTACGCGATTGAACGAAATACTCGAAGTTGAGTGGCGGTGAGTCGATACCTCCAACCTTCAAATCATATTCTCATCTTTTGTTCAGAGAAGAGCAACATGACGACCAGATATTATACGAATTACTTCGATGCTTTAAGGCCCTATCGACCTCTGCAATTGGTTGCTTTGCCTTGCGTAGCTCGTGCCCGACCCCGTTCGTGCAACTAGTCTCCTTGCTCTACTCCGACAAGAAGCCCGGAGATGTGGCAACGAGACAGCTTATTGTCGAATTGTTGCTCATCTTGTTCGAGTTGTACCCTTCTTCGTCGCTCCCATCCACTGGTAACCGTTCACGTCGCGAAGCTTGGGAACCCGAAGGCCGCTCATCCTCGAATCTCATCACCTTCCCAGCACCACACAAGAATTTCTACTCGCTGATTCGTGCTCTCCTTCTGACACCCGCGCCTCCTGCAACTGAATCACCTGCTTCGCCTGTGTCACCTCATGCTTTTATTGAATCACTACATCGCCCAAGAATTTATAAAACCTACCTTCAGGAGCTTTCGGACGTTTGCAGAGATTACTTCTGGGTATTCTGTCACCCGAATAACACAGTCTGGAACTTGGAAGAGGTAGATGAGGGCAAGGTGGAGAAGCCCAAAGCACCTGGAGGCATGACGGGAGGTGTCGAATTTGAAGCTATGGGGTACTTTGTAAGTGGATGAAGTACACGACAACTGAAGCTGACTATCCGAGCAGACGATGCACCTCAAACTTCTCAATGCAATTGCCAAGTCCGTTCATGAGCTTAATCTGCCCAAGGAACATGACATGTCTGCGCACCGCTTCCACTCTGACCTATTTGCTTCTGGATTTGAGCGTATCATTTTGGTGAGGTTAACCTGGCCTGATAGTTGAGTGGACATTCATTATATTTGGTTCTATAGATATCGCGCAAGACGTCTGTGACGTATTATCCGACATTGCATCTGGAACTTTCCCGGTATATTGCCTGGGCAGGGGCTGCAAAATTCGAGCTGCCATGGACTGTATCACGGCTGATCGGCGCTCCTCCATTGGCATTAGCTAAGCTGATTGCCGGTCAACAACAAAGACCAACGCGACAAGGCCAAGTCTCACAGGGTACGCCGACCAGGAGACCTCCGGGTTTTGTCGGGCTGCCGTCTCCCAAGAAGGTTGAACCTATCAAGTTTGAATAAATGCAAGTACTGTGCAGGGAAGTTGGAAGCTTCATGACAGCGGTGTATTTCAATCTTTATCTTAAGGCTTTCATTTTGCTGTTGTACTTTTTAGCCATGCTTTTTTTTTGCTCATCCTGGAATAGGTACACGAAACACAATAAATTAACATCGATAAAATGTCGATAGGGACTGTCTGCTATTAAAAACACAAACATATATTTGAGCCCATATGATGTACAAAGATAGGGGAAAGAGAAAGAACTACACGTGTTCCTCGCCACAGGGCACCAACTCGCGCAACGCCCCAACCTCGTTCCACTTGCGATGCCATTACCTCCACTTAATGTCCCCCCAAAAGCCGAGAGCCCTCATTGTCATTGCCGCTGAATCCAAACCTAACATTGTTAGTGTTTCTGTTCCTAATCTTGAGCTCCAAACCGATTGCACTCCGCATGAGCCAGCACAACGACAGGATAGCAGCTCCAAGTGCACACCAGTGCACAAATGGCGACTTTTCCGGCGTTTGGTTCACAAAGACAGCCCATATGAACCAGGAGACTGCAAGACAAGCAGGAAGGTCGCCTTCTACGGACGCGTGCGCATAGACGGATGCAATGGTCTGGAGGGTGAACCTGGGAATACGGAATCAGACATTACCCAGATCAAGTGGAGTATGACGTACAGGCTAAGGAAGACGAAAACTTTGGTCCAGATCCTCACTGGCTCGATTTCAGCGTCCACACCAAAAGCCGCAAAGGCGGTGGTGAAGATCAAGCATGTCGTCCAGCCGTGGTAAAGGGAGAATGGAAGATGCAGGAAGAGTTCGTCGCAGATATTGCGTACAGTGCTCAATTTCACAAGCCGGTAAATTTTCTGGACAGACAATCAAGTTGTTGTCGTTCGACTAGGAGGTAGCAAATAACGACCTACCGATGCGACCGAACAAGTAAAGACGATGAAAACAAAAGCTATGATGTACGTCAGTAAACTGTATGACTGGGAAATCAAGATGACTGACCATATTTGTACTCCTGGTTAGTCCAGGAATATATGTACATAGCATTCAGGAAGTCGAGAAGCGGGAGATTCCAACCGATGATGTCGATAATGAGTTCCTTACCCCGTCCTGAGAACTGGTAGGTGCATGTTCCAAGAACCAGCAAGTGAATGACAGGCCTGTTGGCGGTAAGCGCCTGACACGTGAAGCGTGCATGTTTCTCACCAAAGGAAGTATGCCCAGGGAGCAGGGGTAAAGTATGTCTCTTTCCCTGAGTAGTAGACATCCAGAGGAGAAATAACTGTGTAGCCATTTGCTCCCATGACGAAGAGCGCTCCAACAATATTGGCCATCTGGAAGTGAGAATCATAATGTCAAAAATGGTCAGATTTTATCAATATATTTGCTTTACTTTTAAAAGTAGGTGGTCGGCCCACGAATTATTGGGAGGACGACGAAAGAACGAAGCCATTGCTGAATTTCTGGTGTTAGGGAGGAGAACTGAAAGAAAGGGCTTGCAATCAATGAGGCGTCAGATCTGCTGACTTTATGTAGGTCCACTAGTAAGCTGGACAAACACGCGTCAGAAACGCGTTGGATGGGCATGGTTTGTCACGTGGTTGCTGGCAAGATCTTGTCTCTGCACGTCACTGAGGAATGGAAGCACCACTAGTCAGTACTAGTCGATTCACCTGACTCCTTCTGACAGCCCTTCCCTGCAATGCATTACACAGGTGATGGTGCATTTTCCGACTTGATTCAGACGGCACGCCGACCGGGGGCTCTGAAGCAGTGGAACTGCCCTTGCGCTTCCTGCGAAGAGTATGCCTGTGGACACAATATTCGTCTAACACAGCTCGTCGATCGATCGCGACCTTGGTAGGGGCTGGCAGGTGGTGTTCGAAGAAGAAGATATAGCATTGGTGTCACGTGTGGCGCTTATATACGTAACAAACGTGTGCAAAACCTCCATGAGTCGACGCGCTTGTAATTTAATGTCTCATTCTGAAGGTTTCTTTGACCGCATATCTGATCTCGGCAGAAATGGCTGTTCCATTCTTGCGTTCTAAGCCCACCCAGCTCTCGAGCGAGTTGGCAGAAGCCCTACTTTTTCTCCCAGGGGCCAGCATCTGCCAATCTAACAGCCCTGATTATTGATAGCAGGATCAAAGTTGGATCTTGCCAACATGCGCGTGACTCAGAGAGTGCGTGGAGTGGCTACTTACCAAGATCTGAGTACGCATTACGAGGTGAAGACTTGAAAAGACGTTACTCTCGCTTTCTGTTGTGGTGTGATCATCACCATAAAAGAGACGACTTGAAAGTGAACAATACTTACAAGTTACAACTATCAAGCGCTCAACGCATTCGCCGCATGGATGGACACAAATGGCAATAGCATTGAATTGCTGCCTAATGACACTTTCATGCGTAGTTGTACAAGTTCTACACATGGAGACCAATGCAAGATTCTTCATCTGATTTCTTCTCTCTATGGTATTGGTCTGAAAGCTAGAATAATAAATTTAGTCTCGAATCAGCAAGAAGAACATCAACATACCTGGTAATAAGGTTGGGGAAGTACGTTGGTACCCGCTGTGTGACTTACAGGTGACATGGGAGTGTCGAAGCGTAAGTAATGGTTGGTGAATGGCTCGGAAAGTGTTTGAGGGAGTGTTTCCGGAGTGTTGGTATGGGACGCAATACATGATGAAAACCATGAGAGCAAGAAGTCATAAACATCCCCCAGCGACCCCAAATCTTGCCTGTCAGCGCAGTAGCCTAGCGACCAACGATAGAAGATGATCGTGCAAAGTAATATGCAGGCAAACACTGGTATTATCAGATTTCCCAAATATCCTTTGAGCGGCAGGGTTTGTGTTACTACAGCAAACAGCAATTAGTGTCATCCAGATTCCAGATACTAGGACACTTGGTTAGTACTCACTGTCGTAAGAGCGAACTTCGATTGAGACCACCAGAAATCCTGAACCCATTGCTGCATGAGACAAGAGGCAATTGCGGACGGGGGGATCGGTTTAACACTGTGTGCACCAGGCGAACATGAAGCAGTGCAAGTAGGAAGGATAAGAGAGTTATGCTAAGCATGAATGGAGACAGGAATCCAACAGGGGCAAAAAAGCCGACCATGCCTGCAGCGAGTAGCTCGCCGAAGTAAGTGAATACAAAGTAAATTGTGAATAGCTGGTTCATTGTATGATGTAGGGTTGCAGACAGGAAACGAAAGCGTTGAGTTCAGGGGCGTGCACAGCCACATTGTGATGACATTGAACCCCCTAGGATGGTCGACTGAGCGCTGAGCATGGAATTTCACTGTGAACCTTAGCTGGGCCGTTGGTTCAGATCGATGAGTCGAGGGGACGCTGCGAGATTAAAGGCGTCCAGGTCAAGTTGCAATTTTGACAAAGTCGTTCTTACGTATCCACCGTACGGTGTAAGCTAACTTCAGTTCCAGTGCTGTTGGACCGAAATGTGACTGTGGCTGGTACTGTGCTTCCTGTGCGTGAATTGAAGTGATACAATGAGTGTTTTATTCCGTAATGATAATGTCCATGGCATATACTTGATGAATACTATACATTGCTAGTTGCGTATTCCGATGCCTCCTGACATATAACGCCGTCATGCGTTCAATGCAATATGTTTACATATTCCCATAAGATGTCCATCGCAATCATAATGTACTTCCCAATTGATTAAACCTTGATGCGCAGAGCTTTCTTAAAGTTCTCCCATTTGCTAGGGTGCGAGAACACCACCTGCCATCTAAGAACTGTCAACGACAGCGACACGCTATCCCCAGCTGCGATCTTACCTGACAATCAAATCACCGCGTCCCACCGTCTTTCGACCTTCCCGAATCGGCATGCCCGCTCCTTTAACCAGTAATTGCCCTTCGGTGGACTTGTCGTAGATTGGATAGGGCAGTGCGAAAACAATTTCTTCCCCATCCATGCCGTCTATACAAATATCGGCCCCTAGCTCGGCGAGAGTCTCCACCCATGGCACGCAAATGTCCACAAACAGGTCATCTTTTACCCTAGTGAAACCACCATGAGGTACCTCTTCAACCACGAAGATTACGTCCTGGAGAGTCCCGTCCTTCCGCTGGTGACCTGTACGGGGACAGACAATCCTAGTTCCGCTTCGAATACCCGGAGGTACATCGATATAGATTTCGACTTGCTCTGTTTTGCGGGATAACAACTCCCGTGTGATGAGAAATTGGAAAGCCGTCCCATGATACATCTCGTGAAGGGTCAGCGGAAGTGGAAACAGCCACTCCTTGGATGTGCCTCGAGGCGCACCAAGGGGTCGTAATGGGGAACCATACGTGGGAGCGTTGTCTGAGTAAGTTGAACCCTCTTCTTTTTTGTACTTTGATGACCCCTTGGAAAGCTTTTGGAGTAGTTCCCTATGGAACAATAAATTAATTGTGATAATGTTGAAAACAGATCACTTACTCTCCCAGTCCGCGCCGAGACAGTTTGTGTAACTTAGATGATGTCGGTGGAATTACAGGCCGCGAGAAATTGCCTGTTTGACTTCGCAATGATTTCGCACCGTTCGGAACGCGTGTGCGACCTTTGGAATATATGGAGGTAGATCCAGCCCCTTGGTTGTTTTTAGACCGGCTCGAAGTCTCCGACTTCGGGTCGCGTGAGACCGGAGCAAGCGCTTGTCCTGATCGTGGCTCGTGCGAATGATCACGCAAATTGTCATGTGACTTTGAGTGGGGAACGTTCGTGCGACTACTATGAGAACGGCTAGCGCTCGTGGCGTACGACGGCGCTTGATCATGTGCAGATGGTAAATCACGTAAGTTATCGTATGATTTTGTTCGGGAGCGGGAACGAGAGCCATTGCTGCCAGTGCTAGAAGGCTTATGGGAGTGGTGCTTTAGCTTGGAGTGATGATCGTGTGAGGCATAATGAGTGTTTTTGTCGTCTGACGAACAAGGCTGGGAAAGTTTTTCGGCGTCAGAGCCAGGAACGAAAGTGGAGGAGAACTGATTGAGTGTCTGCTCACTCTTGTGTGAGCCTGACGACTTTGTATGACGGGATAACTGTGCATTGGCTTGTGGTCGTGGCTCCGCGGAAGAGCTTTTGGCTGTGCCACTTTCCGTGGGCGTAGATAACGGCGAGACACTGTCTCCACAGGAAGGAACCATGCCTTCTGTGCCATCCATCAAGGAGTGGTAGGCAGTGTTGACCTGGCAATGATGATATTGAATGTTAGACTGGAGGACACGACGACTACATCGCTTACTTCAACAAACATCTGCGCTGCGTGTTCTTTCCCGATCTGATGACGGTCGGGGTGCCATTGAAGGGCCTATTGAGAGGGTGAGTACTGTTCAACCACAATGAAAGCTGGAAACATACCAGTTTCTTGTATGCAGTTTTGATATCTTCGTCTGTAGCGTCGAAAGTGAGACCAAGAGCATTATAATATTCTGGTCGACGAGCAGCTACGGGCATCATCGGAGAGTAATGAGAGTGGGTTTACAAGGCTCGCAAGTTGCACAGGGAGGTAAGCAGGAAGGGCTCCAAGAGTGGGGGAGGGGATTGTCATTCTTTTGTAACGCAGGGTAGCATTTATATGTGAGAGAGAAGGCTCGTTAAAACGACCCGAAACGTACTTTCCAACTTGTAGATAGCTTCTAAAGCGATCATGAAACGCAGATTGCCTGCAGGTCACATACTGAAAACAACTCTGCCTCATGTTCAGCACGGAAATTCCGCGTGTTGTTATGAGTAATTACTCGCCCGAAGCATGATCAATTTGTGTCGGACGCTAGCGCTGCTGTGCAACATGATAATTGGACTGCACTACAGCTTGCAATTTTTGTTCGCCTGTTGGCTTATCGCGTTTCTTCATTATGCGGCGCAGCTAGCGGCACTAGATAGTAGTCAGAAGAGCACTAACGGCTAATTCTACTTACTTGAACTCGTTCCTTTTTCGGTGCGCGTAAGCTTTAAGAAGGGTTTTCACGGTGTTAGTATAATACTCCATCCGACATCGTGCCTTGATCAGGATCTCGCCCACTAGAGGCCGACAATCGATCACTGGAAAAAATCAAGTTGGTCGACAGCTGACCAGAATCGTCATCAATGCATCATCACTCCATCAATGCATCAATCCGTGGTTATATCAATTGAACAACAGATTTCCCAGAGAGCCTGGCCAGTGAATTCCTGGAACGTCATCCGTCCTCGAGGTGTGTGTGACAAGGTTTTGTTCGGTTCTCCGCTGCTTTCATAAGCTTCAAGCTTCAAGTTGGACCAGCGAAGTTCAGCTGAGTCTTAACGCAGCAGCTTCTCTCTACACAATTTCCTCCGAGGACCTTTCGTTCATCACCGTCTCTAGTTTCAGATTACTGGCCCGGGCCTCAGTAATTTTACCCCACACCATATTGAAGGCCGTAAGTCTAAGACTTTTATGAATCATACCCCGTCGGTCACCCATGAATGCTCCGGGTTGCTCGCAGTAGTGCCGCCTCGTGTCTCTTATATTCATAGCTTTACCCCAATGCTATCGGGACTCCGCGTCTCATTAATACTGGGCGCGTATTAAGACGGACGGTGTTTCGAATCGCTGCGAGGTAGTTCCACCTACACACCTCAGTGGAGTGTATTGGCGCAAAGGCCCTGGATGTCAACCCTTGACCATGTACCGTTCCAAAGGATCACAGAATCCAATACACTTGTAGGCATCGCACACGTCCAGCGTTTCTTTCATTCTCGCGAGACTCATGTCCCAGGTACTAGCATATTACTGGTCTCGCTCATAACTATTCTAGGTCAGCCTGTCAAACGGGCATCCTCATCGGTGTTTAGATTTCCGCTCCACCCGGGCTCCACAGTCAAAGTGAGTGCTAGTCTATACAATTCATTCGCGGCAGAATCACCCTCAGTATTCGCGGGAATGTTGATCGAGTTGTCTATTTGTCGACCATGCTTGTTCTATGTTTGTACTGATCTCTATGATCCGGGCCATCCTATTGTCCTATCGACCGCGGAGTGGACTCTACAATGTCACCGGCTTCCGACACTGCAATTCGATGATCATCACGCCCTGTGATGTTGTCCTTGTACCTCAATTAGTGTAAGTCATTTAGTCTCCTCATTCGTGGTCTGCTCCTGAACACCCTTGAATATCACTATCTAGACGCTTATCGTATGACGCGTTGGGTGTAACAGTAATCATATCTCATCGTGAAATGAATTAAAAAGTACAGTTGATATGCTAATCTAACGAGTGGAAGTAGATGACGAGTCCTAATAAATGATTACCCCAACAACTTCTTCAGCCCCTCTTTCTGTGAGGGCGTAAGACGGTCTGGGAATACGACATCACATCGTACTATGAGGTCTCCTTTCTTCTTCATGCTGCCCTGCTTTCTAATCGGCATCCCTTCGTTGGGAATTCTTGTCTCCTGATTAGGCTTCACCACGCCACCAGGCAACGAGATTTGCAATTTTCGGCCGTCCAGAGCCACGATGGTCTTCTTTCCATCTACGCCTGTGAGTGCCTCCACCAAGGGTATCCTGAGACGGCAAATCAGATCATCTCCTTCCCGTGTGAAAACATCGTGGGGTTTCTCCTCCACCACGAATACTAGATCTTGTGCCTCGCCGTTCGGCTGCTCATTGCCGGCGCGAGGGAAACGTATCTTTGTGCCGCTCTTCCAGCCCGGGAGAACCTGGATTTCAAGCACCTTTTCCTCCGTAGAGCCCCCCAATAATCGTCTGCCGACCTTCAGGTGTTTGGTCGTGCCTGTAAATAGTTCTTCAAGTGAGAGCTTCAGTGGGCGAGTAGTTTCTGAAGGGGCTGGGGCCGAGGTTGACGTCGACGTCGATGATTGATGTCTAGGAGATGGTCGCTCCGATGGCATGCTCCCCGGCATTCCAAAGAAAGACCCGCCACCACCTATATCGTCGTCATCAAAAATGTTTGGACTTCTGCCCATGCCACTCGTACCACTCCTGCCACCGCTTGTGCCACCAAAACCTGAAGGACCGCCCATGCCACCGAACATTGGAGTACCACCCATACCTCCAGAGCCACTCATGCCTCCGAAACCTCCGCCAAATTGGCTGAATATTTGTCTACAAAAACGTTTAGTTACTAAATGTTAAATGCCGGACAATGCATGCATGTTACTTACTCGAATATTTTTTGCGGGTCACTTGGCGCAAACCCACTTCCCCCGGGGCTAGATGCGAATGTAAATGTGGCCCCCCCTGGGAAGCCTCCTGAACTACCCGCAAAGCCAGGGAATCCAGCGCCAGGGGCAGACCCTCCTCCACCTTTGAGACCCTCTTCACCAACTTGGTCGTATATGGTTCGCTTGTTCTTGTCACTGAGGACTTCAAATGCTTCTGAAACCTAATATTCCGTCAGCTAGGAGCTTACAGTGGGATGTCCCACTTACCTCCTTAAATTTCTTTGAGGATTCTTCAGACCCTCCATTGCGGTCTGGATGCCATTTCAGAGCCTGCAAACAAGATGTCAACTTGAACAGGTGCCAGCATGTGAAAAGCATCACATACCATTTTCTTGTATGCCTTCTTGATTTCATCCTCCCCGGCATCCCGAGAAATACCCAAGGTCTTGTAGTAGTCGGCACCCATACTTGGGAATGTACTTGGTCGTTGTACTAGATGTGACTTACTTGAGTTGGAAGTTCAACACTATATAGCCCTGCGGCTGTGAAATATTCCTCAAATTCAGGAAAGTTCAAGATCTCTGTTTTGATTTCCCCAGAACACCCCAGAACCGTCCGAGTCACTGACGTCAACTCCGACTCATGGTATAGGGCATGCGTGGGAAGGTAAGTCCATGGACCCGACGACATGTGACACAACGTCATCCACACACTCAGAGCAAAAACTACTCATATAATGACTTGAAACAACACAAAAACATTCGGCATAAATAAAGCGGAGGCGATCATTTAAGAATTGTCACAGTCAGACGACAACATCATACTTTGGTGCACCGCTTCCGTACAATGCCAAAGCCATCAAGGAAACTGTTGACTAACGCCCATTGTTTTATATTTGTCCATTTTGTCTGCATTGCATCTGCACAATCAAGGTTGACCTGCTCCAAGTTGGGAAAGAGGCAGGATGAGAGCCACCTTTAGTGGTGTATCGACCGGTGAATTTCCGAAGACGAGGTGTTTGAGATACTTGTTGCGGATTCCACCGCCGGGAGTTTTGAGATCTATTCGGTCCAACTTGGTACCGAAGTAATTCGATTAACCCATGTAATGCGGACATTGTGGTGTTACCGACGGGATTATAGCAGCTGATTTTGAGCACCTCGAGCTTTGGCCAGTCCCTCAACAGCTGGCAGAGTTCCTCATCAGATATGTAAATGTCACAGCCCCTCTCGACGGACAGCTGAGTTAGGTTGCGGCATGCCCGCAATGGCATGAAGACACCCAGTTCTGCGCGCATCTTTCCAGAATTTCCAAGAAGAGTAAAAGCTTCAAGCCTGTCGGTGTCGCATGTCTCTCGGAGAACTGGGATAGCGTCGTGGATCCACTTGGGGAAGAATGAGCAGCTTCATTGAAGTCAATCTTAGCTTTCCATGACCCGAAGTGAACTCAAGAAGTTCAAAGCACGCTCGAACGTATCGGTAGAAGGGCCCAAACTTTTTAAATCATGAAAGCCGGGAAATTCTAAACGTCCTCAGAGGCCAAGCATAGTGACCGCAGAGTTCGTAGCTGCATGATAGGTTCGATGCCTTGGTTTCCTGGATCCCATACCGATAACGAGTGAAGATGGTGGAGCTGGCAAATAGGTTGTGTGACGAAGGGTGAGATTTTACGAAAGAAAACAATATTCCAATTTGCCCCGCTGCGAATAGACTCGACGGGACGGAAGTCAAGTGGATTATTAGTAATCAACCTACTCCTTGGCCCGGGAGTCTCCTTCCAAGTTACTTTGTGCAAACCATGGTCTCTAATAAACCGCCCGAAGACGAAGATAACGCGCACGTTGGCCTGTTTAGGCGATCATGGACTGCAGTTTTTCCGTTCTCTTCATCCGCGTTAGCCACTCTTCCCGAAAACACCCAACGGCCCGTGCGTTACACAAGAGAAGATGATATCCCAGACGTGGAGCACGACATTGATGGGCAAAGACCTACCATCAGAGATTACAATGCCATCAACTCTGTTCCGCCTCAGATACGTGTTCCGAAGAAGGTGGCGACGTCTCTGAAGATCGAGGGAAAGGTATGGTTCGCCAATGAAAGGAGTTAGCATTCATCCTCTTCCTCTCTCGTATCATTTTCTGACGCCAATTAAAGCATGGATATCCTGGCTGAATCTTGCTGTGCTATTGGGAACTTTGGCGCTTGCCCTCTTCAATGCGTCCAAAGACGTTGTAGCCCAAAGATTTGCATATACTTATGCCTTGATTAGCATCGGTGTTTTGGTAAACACGCCCAAGTCTGCTATTTACAATAAACCGATGCTCATGCTGCGAGATTTAGGTCTACGGTTTTGTGATCTATCAGAATAGGATCACTATGATTCGCAAACGCGACCCTGGGCATTACGGTTAATCTGACAACTTCATAGTAGATCCCAGCTCACTGTTAATTCCTAGACCACATCGTTGGACCTGTCCTTATCAGCGCACTTCTGTTCTTCGCAGTCTTGGCCAATTTTGTAATCCGAGGTGAGCATAAACCAATCACGCGTTCACTGTTCTTAACGATTTCCTCATTGTAGTGCGCGAGCTGTAAGTCTGCTCCAATAATTCTGTGTTGCCGCTCACAACATTTTGCAGACAATCAAAAGAAGTCCCTATTCCTGGTCTAGGATTTCTATACCACGTTACTAGCGCACTCGTTACGTCTGGCAGTCACTCGTAGCTTCAATATGTCAATGAAATTTCGGACTCTTCTGGGCTGCTCACTCGATCCCATATCGAGATCAACTTGCTGGTACCCAAAAGAAACGTCAACACCCAATCCTTCCAATGGTCACATAAAGCATGTTACTAGGCCTCGCGTAGATATATATGCTAATTTTGCCGAGTGCCACATGCACCCGCTTTCTACTATTTCCTCAGTCCGTGGTCCACACCCAGATCCAGAAATCACAGTACAAAACTGCACACAATTGAAACTTCCATCCAGCCATGAACATTTGGTCGATTAAGGGCGACATAACATGATTAGAGAATACAACAGAGAATCCACATCCGAGTACAAAAGCACAGATTACTTCAACGCCTTCTTCATTTTCTGCAGAGCAATGAAATCAGTAGCAATAGGCGAATCAAAGATTATCCACGCACCTTTTCCATCTCCTCCAGATCGTTGGTCTCTATTCGGATAATCTTCTTGCCCAGTGTTTTTTCAATCTCCTCCATCTGTGACCAGGTCTGGCGGTCATGGACAAAGTTTATTGAGATACCCTTGCGCCCGAAGCGACCAGTGCGGCCTTACAGAGTTGTTAGTAAGGCACGGAACAAATCTTGGAAACTCATTACCAATACGGTGGATGTACGTCTCAACATCGGGTCTTGCGTCATGGGAGTGTTGATTTCCACGCTCATTCATCAATGGCAGGTCGTAATTCACTACCATGTTGACCTGCATGATGTCGATGCCACGTGCGATGACATTTGTCGTGATAAGAACTTTGTCTCGTCCTTCACGGAAGTTGTCAATAATAGCGTCACGTTCTCCGGCGTCCTTGGCACCATGCAGTGATGCCACTTTGTGACCCTCGGCTGACATGCGTTGTGATATTCTATCTGCTGTATGGCGATGCTAGGAAGAGCAAAGGGAATGGTCAGTAAGGTACGACCAGGCGGGCGCCATCTTGCTAACCTGGCAGAAGATGATACTCTGACCGATCGTCAAAAGCTGGTACAGGGACACGAGGATATCGTATTTGTGATCTTCATTTCTACAATCCATGTAAAATTGCCGGATGCCTTCCACAGAGAGTTCCTCCCTCTGAAGCTCGATCTTGTTCGCACTGGGAGCAAATTTACTGGCGAAATTGCGGACGTGATCGGGGAATGTTGCCGAAAACAGGATAATCTGAACGCCTGTTCGGGGAATGAGGCTTACATCGATTTTTTTGTGAATTGCAGCCCAAACGAGAGAAAAACATACTCACTTCTTTACCCGCAGTGTTTGGTCACCGAGTCCATCCTGATCAAGCATGTTATCTGCTTCATCCAGAACGAACACCTTGACTTCAGATGTATCGATGACCTTTCGTCTTAAAAGATCTGTCATTGTTCCCGGAGTTCCGACGACAATGTGTGCAGTTATCCGTGATGTGCCCTTGGGAAGGTTATCCTTTATTGCGTATTCCGTTTGAACTGGAGTAAATTTTCCCATAGCAACGACAACACTCATAATCTGACGTGCAAGTTCTCGCGAAGGAGCTAGACATAGTGCCTGCAGCCAGTCTTAACGGAGAGCTGTAAAGATGCACATAGAACTGACCTGTGTCTTGTTCTTGGAGAAATCTACACGACTCAGCATGGTAAGCACAAATGCGGCAGTTTTGCCTGTGCCAGATTGCGATTGTCCGATCATGTTCTGAGGACTTGAGGTAGTGATCAGCAACATAGTTCCATGTTACACGAGCTGATCTACCCACGGATTTGCGAGCAGTAACGGCAGTGCACGCTCTTGGATCTTCGATGGCTTCGAGAAACCAAGATCATAGAGACCCTTCAATAAATCTTGATGGCTACGATCAATCGTTAAAGATGCATAAAATGGCAGGATACGACAACGCACAGCCCAAGCTCCTCAAATGTCTTAGCGCTAAATAAAGGGGAATTCGGGTCGGTCTGCTGGTCTGCAAGTGTGACCTGAAAATGTAGTGAGTTATTTAACAATTTAGTATTGCGGCTCCTAAACGTACCGTGACCTCGAATGTCGACGCAATCAAGTCGGTTCTAGCTAAGAGTATAGCATCAGTCAGTTTCGCTGCGGGACAACGACGCGACCTGCACGCACAACTTGAAGATGGAATAGGCTCAGGCTGCTCCTCCTCCTCCTCCTTCGTACCCTTGCTTTCAGCCTGTGCAAGTGGCGCAGAAGCTGCAAAATGTCAAGTTTATGGTACCTAGTAGCGATATGTCACAAACCTTCCAGTCTCGGGGTATAAAAACCGTCTGCGTCCTTCTCCATGAGTGATGGTTAGAGCGAAAGATGTGAGTGAAGGTTTGAGGTCGTCCGATTATGGAAGGTAAACTAAAACCGAGACGAATCAGATCTAACTTTACATAAGAGTCCATCTTATCTCAGGCCATTATTTCCTCTTGGTGGGTCTATCATCATGGAACACTCGTCGACTTGTGAAATAATACAGGGCCAGATTTACCTCAGTCAGACGTCAGGTTGTCACTCCGGCGGAAATAAACTATGAACGCAAAACCGTTGTGGCCTCCCGGTCACACACTCAAACTCCTTCAGAAAGTACAGAGGCATGAGTCTCTTGTGGAACTCGTGTACACGTCCCATGAACGTTGGCCTTTCCCTCGACTTCCCACTCACCCACAACGTAGACTTGACACCATTCGTATATCTATTTTAGACTCTTCTTTCAATCCGCCGACATGCGCCCATCTTGCTCTGGCAAACTCTCGACCTCCACGGTACACCGTGAAGTCCGGCTTCACAGGCTTGCCTTTGGCATCAGCAGCTGAGCTCGATTATGATGCAAAGCTGCTGCTGCTATCCGTGCGGAACGCTGACAAAGCACTGAAATCCGGTGATGCAACACATGAGCAGCGCCTGGAGAT